TGCACAGGTCTGGCAGCGAGATGGTCCGGCGGCACTCAAGCTTTGCCAGGCCTACACAGTGCAGATGATCAAAGGACACCCATGTCCCTTTTGCAAACTGCAGGTCTACGACAAACGCAAGCACCCAGAACAGTGCATAGTTCTGTTCCAGGTCCTGCTCGGATGGCACAAGGTCCAGGGTAAGGACAAAACGCGGGAACAATGTTCCAAGCCTCAACCAAAGACCGCGGTGACAATGTCCCTCAGCGGCTTCTTCGGGACGGCGGACCGATCTGCTACTCCCGCTGCCTCCACCACGGTCCCCACGGCGACGGCGGGCACCGCCGAGGGACATCTCCCACCAGGCCTGTACTCACGCATGCGGCGCATGATGAACTCAGGCAATACCTGCTATGTCAATGCGACCATACAAGCCCTTCTAGCCGCGCTTGACTCTGCGTCCAACATAGCAGAACTGGGACCACTGGTCGAACATTGCATTAGCCCAGAGGCGGATCCAATGGACACTAGGCTTATCAACCCCCCAAGCCTTTTTGCACTCCGGTCGTTAGTGCCTAGATGGCGCTTTGATGGCAGACAACACGACACCTCTGAATTTGTCACGAGTCTGCTAGAACATCACACCGGAACCCTACAACCCGTGCGTTGGGAGGGACGCACTAATGGACTGCCAGAAAGCGAAGACGATGGCCTTACGCCGCTGCTGCTACCTCTTTCCTCGGACTGTCGCACACTGCAGCAGGCCTGCATGGCATGGTACAACCACATGTTCCAACGCGCCCTGGCATGGGCCCCAGACATCCTGCCCGTCACAGTTGCTCGATGGATGGACGGCACCAAACGACGCACCCCGATAGACCTGCGCAGGCAAGTCTCACTGCCGACTTGGACGGAGGGTCAGGACCGCCAGTGGCACCACTTTTCAGTCATTTCGGGGGTTTTTCATGTAGGAGCGGAAATCCACTCCGGCCATTACCGGTCTTTCTGGATCCATCCGCATGGAGGTGCGCTATACGTTGGTGATGATGCCACCAGCCCGCACCTCGCCTCGACCTCAGAACGCAAACATGTTTTGGAAGATTGTTACCTCCTTTTCTTGAGAAGACAGGAGTGACTCTGACTCACCCTCAAGGGGTGAGTGCTGGCCCTCCCAGTCTAGGAATGCGTGCACCACTAGGGTGCCTGTGCGTGGGAAGGCCGGACCCCACAATAGGTGGGCATGGCCCCCCCCACGTCAAGGCCAAGCATGCTTTAGGCATGCGCAGGCTTACCCGCAGCTTTTTCAGGCTGACCCAGCATGGCTGACAAGATCCACAGCCCAGACCACAAACGTGGTCGCACCACATCTCCCCTAGCTTCAGATTCACTGATGGGCGAACAGCGGCAAGCAGCGGCCAGGCAGGGCCTGCACGCCCTTTCCAACGCCGAGCTCACTCAAGGCTTCCTACTACATGAAGAACAGCTTGCCCTCCTACAACTCCAGGCGTCGCTGGTGTACAAGCTACCCACGGACGCCCCCCTGGCACAGGCCCTAGCCAAGGCCGTGGCCGCGTGGCAGAAAGGCCACACGCCAGGGAAAGCGCACCCACTGGGTTCATGTGCACACTTCACAGCGGGAGCAATGCTCGTCCAGCTGGCCCAGTCTCAACAAAAGCCACCAGGCATTGACACTGCACAATTCAAGGCCTTCATCAAGCTGATCGAGGACTTCGGCGAATCGCCGCATGAGGCTGTGATTCATCTGGTCGCGCACTGCTCGGCTCGACAGAACGCTCTCAAGACGCATCTTATCTTGGACTTCCGACCGGTTCTCCACTCCCCGCTTGCGCAGTACACCTCGCTGATCGCGGCCCTCCTGGATTCCTATGAAGGAGAGCGCCTCGGAAAAAAGGCCCCTGGTGGCCTGGCTCGTAAGGCGAGGGGCAAAGCTGGCTGAAAGAAAGGTGCCAATGGCAGCAGCTGGACACGGCCTAGCTCAATTAGAACAATCTCTATCTTTCACAGGAGCAATGCTCGAATTTGCCTTGTTCCTGGAGTGCACTGTCAGCCATAAGCTGTATCACTCCTGCGCACAATGACAAGCAACCAGGCAACCACACCTGTGGAAAAAGCACTGACCTTGCGCCGTGTTCACATCATTGCAGCGGGCTGCCATTGTCTGGCATGTGCTAGGCAGCGTCTAATCTAGTGTCACGCAGCCTTTCCAATTGCCAGATCGCATTCTGAGTCCCTTCCAGCCTCGTTGCCGCCCAACATGCCAGGGCTGCAGAGTCACATTGATCTCGACTACTACGTTGCCCAATGGGATAAAATCCGAGAGCTCGGCCTGGACAAACCTACAACGACAGCGGCGACCTCGGCAACCTCAGGCGACAAGGAACGGGCCGCGCAGACTAAAGAGCCCACTGCTACATCATTGCCGTCGGGCCGTCAACGCCCACCTACGCCACCTCGCTCACCGAAGAAGCGCCAGAACACGGTGAATAAGATCCACAATTAGCGACAATGCCATTCTGAGTCTCGGGTGCGCACAATGAGCGGCCCTAACCCTGAAGGTGGTCAATGACCTCCTGCACCATGCTGCTAGGATGGAAAAAGTTTCGCAACTTAAAGGATCGCTCATAAATAATGCAAGCTGAGGGCGGTCAGATCCTCCATACTGTGCTCGCGTCCATGCGACTAAACACAGAAGGATCAAGTCAAAGGCCCGGCACTCTACCGCTCCATTCCGCTTCGCACATGGCGGCTCCTTCTGACACTACGGCCCTGGACAGCCTTCACATCCGATTGGGCCTAGACCAGGACCCCCATCGCATGGCAACGGCTATTGTGGCAGCAATGACGGACCACGCACAAACCGTGCAACGAGTCCCTACCCCCTGCACCTTAGCGGGACCTACGTCGGCTGCCTGCATCAGCCTCCTGAAGGGCACGGTCGGCAAGACAGTGGGAAGAGGCCACACGAGCACAGTCCACCTGTCTCATGAGGACCCCAACTTTGTCATCAAACAGGTCAAGGCGGAGCACGAGGCAGACTTTCGGAAAGAATTGCATCGTGTTACAAGACTTCCGCCTCTCTCCGTGATCAACACCATCTACGCGGCAGACGGCCCGAGGGCACTCATGCCGCGCCTTTGGTCAGCTCCCCGTCCTCTCACCGGGGACACAGTCCAGCGACTCAAATTTGATATCGCGGCTGCACTGCAGATGCTGCATTCAGCCCAAATCGTTCATGGGGACGTGCACGCGGACAACATCATGGTCCGGCACCAACCGGCCAGTTTCGCACTGATTGACTATGGCGGCTGCTCGGGCGAGGCCATCTACCCCTTGAGTAATGGCTACGGCGCCAAGGGATATGGAGGCGATCTACATCGGCCACCAACCCTAGAAGCTCCACCCGCCCCGGTCCGGACGGCGCATGGGGACTTCTACCGGCTGAGCCAAACGATCCTCAAACAGTTCCTGTCGGATGAGGAGCCTACCAAACGACGCAAGGGCAGCGGCGTCAATGACGGAGTCAGCAGAGGCATTCCTAGCCACATGAAGCGAGAATTGCAACTGTGGCTGGAGCGGGACCAATGGCCACAGCCCATCTATCCCAACTCCCCCTTCCCTGCTGGCTCCTGGACGGACTCTGCCTTCAACCCCGCGGTCACTGTACATGCTGGCCTGTGGAGAGCCAACGGGGAGCTCCGGACAGATACCGCCACCTTTGCCAGATCAGACGACAAGTTTGGCAACAACAACGGCTCACTGGTTCCGGAAAAGTCAGATCCGTCAGATCTCTCACCTGGCCTTGGATCCTGGGAAAAGTCTGCTGTTTGGGCCAAGTTCTACCTTTCTACGGAATTGAGGACATGTGGCCGCCATCTCCGGCATGTATACCAAGAGATCTTTCCCTGGGAATCCTACTCCAACCAGGACGGCTACTTGGTGCTGGACAAGCCCCCTCCTCCGCCTCCGAACAAGCCAATCGAGCCGAAGGAAGAGGCGGTGTCACTGACAACCCCAGCATCCCAAAGCGGGGGCAAGGCCCACTCTGCTCTGACGCAGGCATCGCCTCCATCTCCCACCTCTCCTGTGAACCGACCCGCCATGGAAGCTGTCCCAGCTGACAAAGGGTCAGCGAATCCGCAGCGGGAGCCCCCACGTGCTTCTACCGAGCTGCCAGGCATCTGGGGAGAACCTCCCGCCCGCCCTGCGGAGGACCAAGACCCCTCGCAGACAATTTCTGCCCAACGCCAGCCCCCGCCCCAGCCCATGCAGGCTCCCTCTGACCCACCGGAATCAGCGCCTCCTTTTAACATAGTCATGAAGGAAGCTCAGGTCTACGACCCGAACGCCAGATTCCGAGCGATGGCAGCCTCAGGAGGCAGCGATGTCCCCTTCGACACCAAGGGCCACATGCTCCAGTCTGGCGATGCTTTTGTGGCTCGAGATCTCGCAAGGACTCCCACACCAGGATCTCGAAAAACCACCATCGAGGATTGGTCTCGAAGCCTTCACACTGCCGCGGACTTGCTGCGTGGAGTCGCGGGGGATATGCAGGCCTACCCAGATCGCTTCCTGGAAGAGTGCCCATTCCCGAGACCCCCACCGCCCTAACGCAGCTGGGACAATGTCCGCCCATGTCATCCTGATGGCGACAATGTCGTGCTAGAGCTGTATCGGCCGGTACTCAACTCTTTTCTCCTTTCTCCACGAGCCTGTCGGCTCACACGCCGCTGTACATCATCACGGCCATTTTCTTTTCAGACGACGCTGCTACACATGTTGCAGTTCGGATTGAAACAGAGTGTCGGTTTGAGTGTGATGCTTTCGCCATCAATGCAGAATCAGCTGGGATCTGACACCGGATACTAGGCTGTCACCCTCTCATACCATCATTCCTGTTCACACTTGTCGGCTCTCAGACCCAGATAGCTGGTCTGGACGCTCAGGCCAAACAGCTGCCCCTAGCGATGTGGAGGCTCCGTAGCAGCTCGGGATGTATCCCCATGGACCTGGACGAATCTGACGAGGAGGTCCCCGAACCGGCACGAAAATGCCGTCGCCCGACACTCACGATGCCAACTGCTCAACGCACCCTTCGGTCGACCTTTCCGACGACTGACGAAGACGCGGCAAACGACAGGGCTCCGTCTGTTCAGCCCTGAGCCTATACGCTCCACAGGCGCAGGCACCAGGCATATGCCTACATCTCCCTCCTGACATGGATGAAATGGAGCACAAATTCACCCTATGTGCAGTCGAACAGGCAGCGGCGGACTACCTACATCGCAGGTGGGTCACCTTCGAGCAACTGGATGCCCTGCTGGACACTATGCCTACCACCTCTGCCTGTCGCAATGCATCGGTGGCACTGCCACAGTCTGCTGACCAGCGGATTGTCACATTCGGCGCATACCAGCAGGGGCCACTGGCCGGTCTGAGGACACCAACGCATCGGTTTCCGATGGCGACGTGTCTCCTCAACACGGTTGTGCACACCATGGCCGGACGCCATCCACGCACGACTCTATTCCTGGCACGAAATATATGGCCTCTGGATTGCACACCGACAACAATCAACAAGGGGTGAACAACATCCTGATCCCTCTCTCCAACTTCGAGGGCGGCCACCTCTTCGTGGAGGACAACGCCGGGGATTACCTGTTGGACTCCGACGGACCCAGAGGACAAGTTCTCCCCGTGACCTTGCCCTACCTTAGTTTTGATGCCTCACGCCGACACCTGGTACTGCCATGGACGGGACGCAGACTCATACTCGGTACTTATCACATCCGAGATGCGGACAAGCTCTCCGCGCATTCCGCTCTGTACCTGAAGTACTCAGGTTTCGAGGTACGTCGCACAGCTACAAGCTCCTCTAGCTTTCAACGGCAGCACAGCTGATGTATAGCAATGCGCTGGCATGGGGGCAATGCCCAGCAGGCTTTCAGCTCAAGCTACGGAGGCTGCTGAACGCCCTCTCTGAGCCGGACTGAAGCACGTCCAATAGCTCAATAAATTTTGACCAACAGCCTCAGCTGCCGACACCCTCCCTGGAGGCTCGGTGACCTGAAAAGACGGCAGATACACACAGCTTTTCTGCCAGCGAGAGACACACGGATCGCTCATGTCTACTGCTACTGATGCTGGCACATCGCCTCTAAGGTCCGACGATGCCCTCAGGCTGCCCCTGCTGACGCCGACCTTCTGGCATGGCCGGACCAGTGCCCCTGCCCACTCGCACAAGCAAAGCTGACTCTGCAGCGCTGCCTCAGCGTGAATGCATTTGCAGCTTTCCTGCTGCGCCGCCGGGCTCAAGATCACTGAAGGCATCAAGCATAACAACACACAAAGCAGAAGGCTCAGGGCTCAGACTTTAGAACATTGCAGCATGCTCTGCCCTAGGCTACAGCTCTGACATTCCTGCGCAGTTCCTCACCACTTCACTTTCCCTCAGCCTAGTAAGGGCGCGGTGCTCAACGAGCACTGGCAACTGGGCATGGCAGCTACACCGACCACGCCGAAGCCCTTCTTGGTGCTCAGTGACAGCACCTTGCAACACTTGTTATGGCAGGGGGCCAATGGCCAATCCTACGGAATCGTTGACATGGTTCGGGGTGCAATGCACGGCTACGTCATCTCCTGCCCGGGTACCACTCTCACAGCAGAGTACACGGGTGCGCAGCCACCCAACCCAGCGGTGTTGGAGGTACTGGCCTGGCAATTCATCCGCGTCCTTGGAGAAACGCGATCTTTCCCGGCGGAAAGCCCTGCATTGATCAATTTTCTCCGTGATCACTACTATGACGACGAGGTTAGCGTGCGCCTGATCCCCATCAGACAAAGCTTATTACCCCATAAGCAGAAGGCCTATACGACTGGATCGCGGAGCTAAGGGATCAGTATGGCCTGGGACGGTACGAGCTCAGCGATGAGACCATCATGAGCCTCCAAGGCCCTCCTCCCCTGGTCGATCAAATATACAACCAAAATAACTGTCACTTTCGACCGACGGTGGCAGATCACGTCATTGGATTGCTGGTATCCCGCTCAATTCAAACGATGCGGCGACTGAAGCCGAATGCGATCCATGTTCTGGTTGTGTGCTCATGGAACTGCCAGGGGGACAATGTCCACAAGGAGATGAACGCCACGTTCGACCTGTGCAGCGCGGAGACACTGTCTGAGGTGGGTGCGGTGGCTGCTCGACACACGGGCAAGGCATGGGCCCTCAGACCATTCCTGGAACCCTATGTCAGTCGCCGGCCAATGCCCCGCACTCTTTTTCAGACATACATGCACGATGACCACCCAGGTCCCAAAAGCATGTGCCGGGAATTCCTGGCTGATTTCGAGCGCTCCTTCTGCAATGACGAGATTTTGCTCGAGACCCTTCAGGTGCATGCTGGAGACAGCGGAGAACACTTGATCAAAAGTTTGAGGCAGCCTGCTCACAAGGCTGATGTCTTCAGGTACGTCTACCACTACTATCATGGTGGCCTGTACCTTGATATCAAGATGGCGCTGCGAATGCCCTTCGATCAAATTTTAGGGCTCATAGCTTCAGAATGGGACAATGTCCAAGTTCGCAAGAGCAAAGAGCTGGGGCACTGCCCAAATGGAGTGGAAGGGGTTCTGCCCAAGGAGTACATGATCATGGGCATTGGGGTCAAAAATGACCACATTTTCCAGGGCATCATCTATGGACAACCGCGCCATCCCCTCATGCTCTGCGCTATAAACCACGCTTTCAGCAGGCAAATTCTTGCCTCGGTCGCCAACCTGGACTACATGATCTTCTGCAAGGAACTTTGGAAGCTCCTCACGCACGACATGGGCCACACCCCAGTGACAGGATGGAACCAGACCCGACAGTTCGGACCGGTGTATTTGCTCCGCGAGCGACATTCAGCTCAGCTCACCAAGTCCAAAGAGCTTGAGTCCGACGGTCACTACTTTGAGACCCGCGGTCAGGTTCGGGTAGCATTCACCCGATGCTGGAGCTGGCGAAAAGGCTTCAAGGGCGACCCCAGGGCAGCTCAAAGAAATGAAAACTCTCTCATGCAGAGCGTGCCCCAAATCGTCTCGGAGGTCATTGAAGCCGGTGGCGCTGCCTCTGCAGCACCCCATTCAGCACAGGCGGGAGCAATGCTCACCAATGCAGGCGTCAGAGTTGTCGGCGAGACCGTGCTCAGCAGAATCGAACGGGGTGATTTTGACGCGATCATGGCGGCGGTCGAGAAGGAGCCGCAGTACCACGGCATTTCGGCCGAGGCTGTCCTTCGCAATATCCCCCGAGGCCTCTGCCTTCACCCTGAAGATCCAGACTGGCTTTCCTGCCGCTACTGCGAGCGCGGCGGTCGGCGCTTGAAGTTCCCAAATGAGTTGGGAGTCACACACCACTTCATGCAATCCCGGCACGACCGATCAGTGCCCGAGCCACCAAGCCCTCCGCCTCGCAACAGCATGTGGTCGCAGCGCCCGGCAGAGCCTGCAAACCCTCCCTCAGCTGCAGCCATCGCAGCGTCAGGCCAGGCTCCACCACCACCAGAACCCACGGCGGACCGTCCGCCCCAGTGGAGACCCACAGCGTCGGTGTCTAAGGCACGCTTTGGGCTCGGCCTCCCTCCCATTCCGCCAGGTCCTACCCCACATGCGCAGGGCCACCGGCCTCTTGCAGTGAAACAAGAACAGGGGGTCAATGACCAACAGGCGGACATCAAGGATGAGAAACAGGCCACTGCTGATCCCACGTTGGGATGGGCGGAAGACACTGTGGGCACGCCAGACACTCCGATGCTGCCGGCGAGCACACCGCAGTCACACAAGTCTGCTGGCTCTGGCCAGACAAGTGATCGGCCTTTCAATGCATTCTCAGCCCAGAATGTGACTCCGACGGCTGCCCCCACCGAGGAGACCGTCCCGCAGACCCCAGGCCCGGCTGACACCACATCATCCTCCCCTGTGGATGCCCCCTCTACGCGTGCAGAGGTCAAATACCAGGGACCGGTCACTACGACCAAGCTGGTGGAGTACAGTGTCAACCCCTCTCCAGAGCAAGAGGCAAATCAACTGCCAAAGCGAGATCAGATTATCCACATCTGCCAGTCTGACCAGATGCTGGAGTGGGTTCATGCCTTCGCGACCATTTCCATTATGAAGGAGCAGGCCATAGTGGGTGGCCTCACGGCCTCCGAGCAGGTCTACCTCTGGACCAATCGGTTTCGGGCACTGGGCAAGGTGCCATGGATCTTCGCCCCGATCAAGAAGGTCGCCACCGACAAGGATGCCAACTGGCTTGACATCACGCAAGCGCGGCTTATGGTCGGGGCCAATGGCCAATTCACACTATCCATTGGCCAAGATGATCGCTACACCGAGCTCAAGTCCACCACGACCTACTATGGCATAGTGCACGCCCTCTTTCAGAAAATGTGGGATCATCCGGACATGAGCGCACTGCTCGAAACGGATGACAACTTCGAGATCGTGGCCTCCACCTTCAAGTGCATCTATGACCAGTCCTCCAGGAAGAGTGGTGGCCAAAATCGCGCCATCTTCTACCAGCCTCGGGATGGTCAAGTTGTCCGCAAGCTCCGTATCGAACACAACAAGGGCGACACGGCCACCTACCAATGGCATCGTCAACGCGAGCTACGTGAGCAGCGTGAACAGCGTGACAAGCGCTCTGGTGAAGAGACACAGTCTCACACAGACAAGCGCTACAGAGACGGCGATGCCTGGACCCGAGGAGGGTGGTGGAATCGTGGCTCGGACTCGGGGGCCAGTGGCAGCCGCTCCTGGCACCAGTGAGCTCCAACTTTGATCACCGGTGCCAATGGCAACCTATGCAGTGCAATGCGGAGGCCATGCCTGCATTTCTACTTCGTTTCTTCCGGAACGGACTGACGGCCTTTCTGCTGATTGCCGCCGCTGTCAGAGAAAAACATGCCTCGCCTTCTGCCAGTCGCAGAACTGTGCCTCTGCTACTAGTGCTGCATAATCACTATCCTCGCTCAGGTACACACAACAATCTGAAGCTTGATGCCTGGCAGCCTACCAACTTGCTTCGGCTGATCACTGCCAGTTAGCTGGAAGCCTGTAGGCCGCCAACACCCAAAGGTCTTCGACCTGGGCTGTTCAGCTATAGGGTCTGAGTCAGTTTCACACCATGTGAGTGCACCACGGCAATCGCCCGCTATGTGCTGAGCCCGCTCGCACAGCGTTCAATTGAAATAGTAGGAGTAGTAGTAGTAGTAGTAGTAGTAGTAGTAGTAGTAGTAGTCGTCGAAGTAGTCGTCGAAGTAGTAGTACTAGTAGTAGTCGTCGTAGTAGTAGTAGTAGTGGTAGTAGTAGTAGTAGCAGCAGTAGCAGTAGCAGTAGCAGTAGCAGTAGCAGTAGCAGTAGCAGTAGCAGCAGCAGCAGTAGCAGTAGCGGTAGCAGTAGTAGTAGTGGTAGTCGCAGTAGCAGGCGAAGTAGCAGTCGAAGTAGTAGTCGAAGTAGTAGTCGAAGTAGTAGTCGAAGTAGTAGTCGTAGTAGTAGTAGTAGTAGTAGTAGTAGCAGTAGTAGTAGTAGTAGTAGTAGCAGTAGCAGTAGCAGCAGTAGTAGTAGTAGTAGTAGTAGTAGTAGTAGTAGTAGTAGTAGTGGTAGTAGCAATAGTAGCAGTAGTAGTACTAGTAGTAGTAGCAGTAGCAGCTACGTGCACGAAAATCCTGAAACCCTATCTGCACCCATATCATCGACTGTCGACGACACCATGTTGGGATAGTGGTCTTCCCGACTGTTAGGTCATTGCATTTTTCTTTGAGGTGCGAGGGGCATGTGTCGTCGAGTGGATGCACAAGCGTACCCGTTGCTTTTGGGACAGCCCACCCTTTTCTTCTGGTAGACTGTGAGCAGGACGGCCCGCAACCTGCCCTCCCTGCGCGTCCACTCGCGGCTGGTGTGGCCGGCTAGGAGTGACACCGGACAAGAGCAGTAGGGACGGCTCAACAGCACAGCTACAGTCACACTAATTTAATGCCTCCCCCCACTCGCTGCAGGACTGACACAGCCTAACTCTCTCTCTCTCTCTCTCTCTTTCCGTCTGCTTCTTCTTCTTCTTTGAAAGGGGTCCGTAGGCCCCTTTCCCCGAGCAGTGGCGTCCCTGGCAGTCTGTGGCCTTAGTCGCGTGACAATGTGAATCAAAGGGCACACCCGACCCTCTCTCTGTCTCTCCTTCTTACTTGTTCTTCGTGCTTCCTCGTTTTTCTTCCTACACTTCACAAGTCAGCTCTGCTCCGCACGTTGCCTGCTTGATTGACCGAGATCTGGAGCTGTCTGCGGGACCTTCCGAGGCGGCTATGCACCCATGCCATCTTCCCCGAAACGCGACGGCCATAGAGCCAGAAATCAGACCTCGGAATCGAACCTACACAAAACATATGCGATGTAATCAATCAACCCTTAAGCAAGTCAAATTGCCACAACCGTGATGTCACGTCAATCCTTCCAGCATGGCCTGTGCAGGTAGTTCGGCCGGCCGTGGAGGCGAGGATGGCTGGCTATCTACCTGCAATTGTGCAATGCACTCCTCTTGCAGCCTTTTCGACAAGCATGCAAGAGCCTGTCGTGCTCGGACCCTGTGCAAAATGTTGGCCATCTTCCGCGCAGACGGCGAAGGAAACCTGCACATGTCAAGCGAGCGAAATTTTCGCTGGCCCGTAGCCGTTGGCCCCCCATTTGCTGAAAGGTCACTGCGGCTTTGCCGCCAGTCCGTCCTCTTCTGTGGAGCCAGCGGTACCCGGCGTGGAGGGCACAAAATCACCTAGGCAGGCCCAGGGTGCCAGGAGCAGGCTACGCGCGGCGTGGCGCTAACGACAGACGAGTCTCCGAGGCTGCTCGCTGCTCCGAAGCTGCTCTGGGTCGAATTCATGTCTGACTTTGGACCCATCAGCTTCATCACCACGGACTGCAGCCCAGTCTGGCCTAAGCATGTCAGGTCCATGATCACAAGAGGCCTTTCATCCCTGGCCTCGCCTGACTTCTGGTTGGCCTTCTTCTGACCTCCAGGGCCCGGTCGAAGCACTGGGGCCGCAGTTCAGTTGATCCATGCCTGCCATTGGCCCGGTCTTCGAGCGCGGCATGCCAGAATTCGACCTCTCACCTCAGAAAGCGGCAGCACCAAGTCTGTCTGGCTTCGAGGCGATCAACTTTGCCAGCCGATGCACCCTCCACGGGAATGTCCATCGTCACGTCCATCGATCGTTTCTCGGCCTTCAGAGCAGGCGCATGCGGCGCATGTTGCTGCTGTCTGGATCCCCGTCATCCTTTCAACATGTGACGACAACCGCATGACATGCAAAAATGCACGGAACTGGGCAGAGTCCTCGTTTCTGCTAGAGATGTTGCTTGGTGAGGCACGTAAACCCGCGCCACATCATGCTGCACAGCAGGATAATCAGGCTGCGCATGCTATGCTGCAGGGTTGGAAGTTGAACCGGTTCAACCTCCCACTGTGCACAGAAAGTAATAATGGCACAACAGGATCCCTCTTTTTTGGAAAGTGCCCCGGGTTCGCACCTCCCCTCAGCCCTTTCCAAGTTTCATGTCTATATAGCACCCGATCATTCCCCAAACACCAGGTAATCCAGGTAGTTCATCGTGAGTGCGCCTCCTTTGCTTTTTCGGCAACCTGCGCATCCAAACAAGTGGAGCACGGGACATGGGGTCTCTCTCTCTCACACACATAAATTTCACTACACCTCAGCATCAGCTGAATCAGAAAACACCACTACCTGCACGCTCTGTCAAGAACCTCTCGACACTCAAGCCGAAACATTTCGGTAGAGCCTGGAAGGACGCAACGCCGGTCAAAAGTTGCAAACCAAAGCTCTGCAGGTTGCCTACAAATCTTGCACTCAATGTGCTCACTACGGTCACTTGGCTCGGGCGTACACACCTAGATTAAGCTTCATTGAGCTGTTCATCTCATGCAAAGCTCCCAAGGGTTTGAAGGCCTTGCCAGCGTTGGACATCGCCACCATGCCGCGCAGTGTACCACCCTTTCTGATTGCTTTGGTGAGGTTGATGGTTGTCCTGAGATTCTCCAACCACTGTTTGCACGTGCACTCTCCTGCACTGCATGTTTACTCGTACTGAAACACTTAGAAGCCGGCTTCCATCGAAGCGAAGCAGCTCCTTGTCCTTGCTGCATCATGGCAGAGAGAGTTCTTCAAGCCTACATCCTGCTGCATTGATGAACTTCGGTACGACGTGGTTGCTTGACACGGCCCAGCCTGGCTGATTGTCGGCAGGGGTCCCCTGCGGGAGCCAGCCATCCCTGAGGAAGCGAGGACTACGTCAACGTCTGTTGCGTGTACAACATCTTGCGCAGATGCCCAACACTTCACTTCAGTCGAATCCACATGCATCGCCGCAGAACACAAAGAACAGAACAGTGCCTCGGCGCTGCAGATTCCATGAGCTCCGGCAGTTTGTTCCATCGGTTCCTCAGATCTGGATGAAATCAACTTTGCGGAAACGACGTATGTATGTGATTCAAAACCGATGTTGTTTCCTCGCAGCGTTGTTTGCCTGGCACACGCTTGCCTGCATCAATGGCCTACACTTTGCCTTTCTGCAACAACGTCTTTGTGCTCTCTAAGGTGCGGATCACCTGAGTTGCAGAATGAAGTGGAGGCGAGGCCACTTGAAACATCATTCGCTCAGAAGCTTTTCGTACTCAGGGAGAGTTAACAGAGTACCACCCCACCTGCAGGACCGCTTTCGTTGAGGTGCAATAAGTGGGACATCTGTCCCAGGCCCTGCAGCCCCCCGCAGCCCCCAGGACCTCAGGAGCCTCATCCCCAACATCCCCCCATAGCAACGAAGCACCATACAGTTCTGTCGACGTGTGAAATTGCCACAGAGATGCACACACAACCGGATGATCAGCTGACAGAAATCCATGGTTGTCCACATGGCGTAATTGCAGAGAAATCAGGGTTTCGAGCCCAGAAATACCTGAAAACTCTCACGGAAAGAACTTCTTGAACAGCCGCAACACAACCACAGCGAATGGGAGTGCACGGAGAAGCTATATATGCGCCGTTGACTTGTCGAAAGACGTTGGGGCCAATTGTTTTTTGGCGATGGCGAATGCGGTTTTTAGTGCCCAGAATGCTGGAATCAACCTGGTAGCCATATCCTCTGAGACTGACAATACAGCTTTTGGACTCCTAAGGAAGAATGTAAGCATAAGGCAAACGCTCACTTCCAATGATATCCATTTGGCTTAGTAAGTGAAAACGGAGATGATGCCGCTTCGACATACATCCACCTCGACTATCTTTTACGTCGTACCATCCGCGTTGCAATGTTTTTTAGATTATGTCAACAACAGGACTCGAATCGCCGCAGCAGCGCGGAACTATCGTTGGCCCCACTGCCCATGGAGGGCACGCCTTCACCTGGCGCCGCACTTGCGAGGCGGCATGCAGATCTTTGTCAAGACCTCGGACGTTGAGGCCAGTGACAAGTTCGACAAAGTCAAGGCTAAGTCCCAAGATAAGGCAGGCATCCCGCCCGACCAGCGGCACCTGATCTTTGCTGGCAAGCAGTTTGAGGGCGGCCGTACTCTTTCGGATGACAACCTCCAGAAGGAATCGACCCCTGGCGATGGTAAGTACGATCGTGACATGCGGCCCTATGAGTTCAAGATTGAAGGCACTAACGTTGCGTTTACGATAATTACGATAGGCGAGCGCCTTGACATCTGGCTCCGCAGCCCGGTAGACCAGGTTCTGGAGTTCTGCGGCACGTCGACGGGTTTGTTGGGCGCTTCGCTTTCGTTAGACTCGGACCTCACACGTGTTGGTGTGTATATACGCGGTCACTGTATGCAGCGGCACGTCTGAGAGGGCACAGTGATGTTTAATTTTCCATTGTGAGGGACTTACCCTGTAGTTGGCCTCCCCTTTTCCCTGGAGGAATAAGCTCAGGGTTCAAGGGTGAATGCGTTGTACATGGCACGCATGTTTCGAGTGGGACGCGGTTTGAATGAAACCACCATGTGGGGCTTTGAAAGGCTTTGTCTTGTAGTTTGCCTCCCCCGGCCCCCGGAGGAATGCTCAAGATGGTACTGTTTTTGTTCGGTTGCCGGTTGTGAAAGGTTCTACGGTGACAAGTAGAACCTCAATCGAGCCCGGTTGCGTGCGTTAGGTAGCGCTTTTGCTTTCAGTCCGAGTGCCAAGCAATTGTAAATTGTGTATGGCATGTCCCTATCAATGCCGGCAGCGGCTGTCCCTTGATGGCTCTAGTTTTGACTTTTTGAAGAGATGTGCATGGCCGAGACAGCTTTTGTACATGCTGGTTCCATCTTGGCATGCTTCCTCTTCTGCAGGTTTCTGCTCCGCTCGGGTTTATTCCGGGCGAGTGCACACTGCTTCAACCCTGAATTCATTGCTAGGCGTGCGTCCTCTGGACCCTGAACGCTACGAAGAAGATGTCAACAACAATCGGCGACCGTCTGGCTAATCTGCAGGTGGCAAAATTCAACGTCGCAACGGTCGCAACTCAGTTCTAGCAGAAGCAACCGGGATCAGCTGACAATGCCGACGCCAACACTGCATCAGACAGATGTTCCATCTGTCAACCACTGCATCGTCAGTTCCCAAACAACAGTCCGCTTTCGACACTCACTCTCCATATGTGCAAAGAATTAATGTGCATTAGGCCACGTCGTGTCAGCAAGACTACACGCCCCCAGCCATGACGAAGTCACCTCTGAGGTGCGGGCAAACGGCGAAGCCATCGTTTGTAATTGAAGACACTCGCAGAAAAGGTAGGGTTCGAAATTTCCACCACGGTCGGTTTGTAATGAAAACGCGGGAAAAGTGAACGATGATGTTGACAGACATCATGAATCCAAGCAGCGGCATGTCCACGGCAGCCAAGACTAGGCTGTACACATCGTATAACAATGGAAGCTGGAGGGATCAAGTGCTGTCGGAATCGAAAAATCGATTGAAGTTGAGCCCGTGTGCGTACGCGATAAGGCTCTTCCACATGAGCAGTTAGCTTCCATAACAGATAGAGTAAAGGCTTGAGCGCATTATGTGTCAGAGGAGGCTCAGGGGCGCAGAACCTGTGGATACCCTCGGCATCCAACTTGTACAGCAAGCGAAAGTCTTGTTCGGAAGTTCGAAGAACGTTTTTATGCAAAAACGAAAAGGAGGAAGTATGATGCCACAAATGCACAACCGGCTCATAGTATGAAACACGATCGTTCTGTCGTTGTCGAGTCTATCTTTTGCACGACGGCTAAGGTCGAGCTCATAAACATTGAAGGATCCAACGTACGAAGGATCCTTCAAAAATAACTTCAGATCAACCACAAACTGCCGTGCAGGATAACACAATGGATATGCAGCAGGAATCTGAGAGGATTTTGACTGAGAGGATCGCAGAAGTTCATACAGACCGCACAGAGTGGGAGACAAGTTAAAAAGTACATGAAATCAAACCGTGCTGCAGACCCATGAAGTAAATCCTGAATCCGATCTGGTGGAGATGTGAAAAGAAAAGCGAGCATGAATACAATCGTGATGCGTAACAATGCATACTGTTATTCTTTAAGTTTGTCTGGCAGTAGCGTATGAGGCGCGATCTGGTGACGTCTTGACTGCAAAACCCCATGCCACCCACAAAGCATCGATGCGTGGAGCATCACCCTCAGTTAGATCATCAAGAAGCTCTCGTAGTTCCCTGTCTTTGCTGTCGATCTAGTCTTCAGTGGACCTGAACACGGTCGATTGATCCATTTCGAGACAGCCGGAGAACTGTATCCTGTCATAGCCGATCAGCGTGTGAATCTCAATTTTCTATAGGGAAGACAGCCACGTTGAAACTGCTGAACAGCGGTGGGGCTGGAATGCTTTTCCTAAATGGATGAGTGCAGGACGTGAGGGGGGACTGTCGGAGCAGCAAGACTGGGTCTCGGGAGGGGGGGGAGCATCCTTTGATGAACCTTCACTTCCTTGGGAGGAGCGGGTGTGACTTCTCAGCCTCCAAGTGCCGAAATTTCTGTAACATCTGCTGTTGGGAATAAACCGGCGTGAGTGATTTCAAGACATGTATAACATCCAAAGCAAGCCACCTTAGTACCAATTGCATGCGATACTCCCAGTTGTAGATATGAGGAAGAGCATCGGAGTATTACTGAAGAATTTGCACAAGATCAACACCCTGCTGCTGTTGGCGCAGTTCGCTACAAACAATACTGCACAGAAGACTCTCTGTTGTGTCGCGAATAACCTAAAGAACGATTGGCTTGCCGTTGGAAAGAAAGCGCATTGTCGTCAGAGCAATAATTGGCAAGTGCAACCAAATGAGTTGGCGCTGTTCACAAGACGAGGCAAAGTTAGAGTGTAGACTCAGTGTAGACCAACGAACAATCAGCATGTCCAGAATCCAATCGCCAGTCGGACGGTATGTTCCATGCCTCCCCCCGTTCAGAGGTAAGACACCTATGTTGAGTGGCAGGTGCCACTTCCACGTGTCCTTCGCGGCGCAGCGAGTAGACAGAACTATGCCAGATCCGACCGGGAGGTCTCAACGACGAGGTGGCGTGGGAAAACAGCACGCGTCGAGAGTGCGAGGCAGAATGGAGCTGCGATGCCGATGTGAACTCCGAGAGCGATCTCTACGGGCACGGTTTCGGGACTGGGTCTTCACGTTCAGGATATGTATGACAACGCATGGCTCAAGAACAAAATATTCAATAGGAGGGCCCGAACTGGCGCAGGATTTATGGTTTGACTGTGCCTTCGGCATTTGCAAGGGACGCGCATCTGACCGTGTTGTAGGTGCCGTGATCTTGGTGCTGTGTAGGTGCTGCGATGTAGGGGCTGTGGAGGTGTCGTAGTGGGTGTTGTGATGTAGGTGTTGTCTTCGGGGCGGTGTGCGCGTGTGTGTGCGTGCTGTGATGTAGGTGAGGTGTAAGGTCTTGGTGCAGTGTGGGTGTTGTGAAGTAGGTGCTGTGGAGGTGCTGTGATGTAGGGGCTGTGGAGGTGTCGTGGTCTTGGTAGTGTAGGTGATGTGATGTAGGGAGCTGTGGAGATGTTGTGGTCTGTTTGCGGTGTGGGTGCTGTGATGTAGTTGCTGGGCGGCGCGGCACCACAATCAGAGCGCTTCGACGCTGACCATCCGTGCAGTTCATCGGCAAGCTTGAAAATTCGGAGGGCGCCACAGCGAGAACGCTTCGACACGCACGATCACTATAGACGATTCATCGCGCCGAGCGTCGCCAAACCCACTCCAGGTTAAGAAATAATATAGACTAAAAGAGATTGGCGGCGTAGGTGCTTTGGTGTACTTGGTGCGCTGTATGTGCTGTGCTGCGCGTTTTCCAAAAAACCCTTGGTGGTGATTTCGGGAAAAACAAATATGATAAAGGTGCTACTCATACTAATCATAATAGCAATAATAATATGAAGAAGAGTACATTTAGCAATAAAAATGCTAGTAATCATAATGACAAACATAAAACAGAAAGAAAACAGTACTAGCAATAGGAGCCCCCCTCCATCCTGCCAACCACCTCTCCTAAGGACTGTTTAAAAGCACATCCATTTTACTCTATGTTTACAGTACTTTTGTGATGTCGTAGTCCAATACCAACCGCCGCTGTTGAGCACCGTTGCTGCTTGCGGGGTGGGGGGGTGCGGGGGTGGGGGGCGGAGGGGGGAGAATGATGACGTACATTTTAAGAGCACATCCATTTTACTCGGTATCTACCGTACTTTCGTGATGTCGTGGTCAAATACCAACGATGCTGAAGACAATGGGCTTAGGCACCACGTGGTTGGTGGGGGGGGTGGCTAGTAATAGTACTAATACTAGTAATGGTAGCCGTGATCGAACAACAACAATAAAAATACAAACAACAACAATAATTTGACAATAATAGCCATAGCATAACGACCATCATCATCATCAGCAGCAGCATCATGATGATGACGATCATGTCGCAACATCTCGGATTCCTCGGCGACACTTCTGTAACCCTGGGTTCAGCACATCCCACATCGAGGGACCCACAGGCCTGGGGGAACCCGTACAGCACAATAGCTAAGGCCATGTTGTCAAAAGGAACATCCTGAAACTTTGTAAAGCCCGTCGAACCTGAGCCAGTCTTGATAAAGCGCTTCCCCAGCCCATGCCATGCCATGCCATCCCATGCCCCGCAACTTGGCCAAAGGGCCGAAGGCTTGTCGCCGTTTCTCCGGTGAGTCGCCGAGGCTGTCCACAAGCTCCTTGAGCTCGGACACCTGCATAGTAGCGCAGACGAGCGCAGAGACGTGCAGAGACGCCATGCGAGGGCCACCCTCGCCCCACCTCGGCCTTTTGCAGGCTTGGAAGGTGCGAATCCTCATTGGAACCTCGGAGGACTGTACACAACTCAATGTCGACAGCCAAACAATAGCACTTTCGGCCAGGGTCTAGGAAGCTTCTGTGCGACAGACTCTACGTGCAGCTACAGCCTCTACATGCTTCTGCGTTTGGCGAGTCTAGCAGCCTGGAAGAGTGCCTAACCAATCGGCGGCACTGACCTCACCCATAAAGACTGATCCTCATTTCGAGGGCACCATGACCTAAGGTCAAGGTGGCAGGTGAAACGCAGGTCTCTCTCGTAGCGAGGTGACCGCTTCTGCTGCTTCTACCGGGCGAAGGTGGAGTGCAGGGTTGGGAGCTTCGATACACACCTGTATATCTTTTCCTCAACTCTCCAGTCTGCATGGGAGTAAGACAGCACTAAGAGTATACCCTCTCACTGCTCAACGGCTTGACTGGAGAATCATGACATGCCTAACCGTGATACGATGGTTCTGCTTTGGGCCAATATTGGCAGAACCACAGGTTCGGATGCAGGCAATAGAAAAGGGCCAAGATGCGCATGGACTGCTTCAGTACCAGGCATGTCGTCTCCAGTGCACCGGGACCAAGCCGTTGCACTCAAACAGCTCACACTCTGAACCCCCGGGGGATAGCCCACCTCGTAGCCCAAGTCATGCAGAAGCAATGGCACCCAGTCCATAGAACGATCCTGCAAAGCTTGGATCGATGTGGAGCCTATGCGGGCTTGTCAGACTTTGTCGCCTGTCACGGATTGCTGCAAGCATACTATTGCAACCTTCGCGGTCTATAACAGAACACCGGGAACTTTCGAAGTCCTTAAGAGTTTTTCCTGGTCTGCGGTCTGCATGACGAGATTCAAGCTTTGCTTTGAAGCTTTCCACTTTCTCCCATGAATGCTTCGCCGCATCATGCTCCGTTAGTCGGGGCAGGATCGGGCATCGTCTCTAACGGACCAGGCATCAACGTTTAGCCCCTGAACCCACTTTTCTTACCCCGGCAGTTGCCAGTGCAGTAAGGGTGGGAAACATACAGATGCATCGAAATGGAACACCTGGGACATCTCGCTATCACGCAAGACTGAAACACTTTTGGAAGCGTAGCGGCAGGCGGCGAAGTGCAAACGAAATCGCATTCCAGATCGAAACATCTCAGACATCGATCGGAGCGAATCGTTGCGTATCACCCCACCACTCCAATATGTAAGAATAAATACAGGGTGGTGTGGGCGGGCTGAAAAGCTTGAAAGAACCTCGAGCGGGCAACAGCTGCGGTTGTCTGCTGTTGCCGCTCGTACATGTCACTCCGTGCACACGTGCACTACACGACATCTCGCTATCACGCAAGACTGAAACACTTTTGGAAGCGTAGCGGCAGGCGGCGAAGTGCAAACGAAATCGCATTCCAGATCGAAACATCTCAGACATCGATCGGAGCGAATCGTTGCGTATCACCATAGGTGTGCCGCCTGCACCATTAAAGCACACCGGTAGCCCTAAACCTCTCAGAGCCCGTCAGAAGCTCTTCGAAAAGACTGTCCCAATCTCGTTCTAGTGCGATCCAACCTTCGGCTCGAGCGTGGCGAAGGTCACCGCGGCTAACGGAGTCGCTGACGTTGGCTGACGACGTAACACGCTGCCATGCTGGGCGAAAGGATTGTGCCTCCAAGAAGCGCCATGCATGTTGTAGCAAGCAGTTGATCGACTCATCCTTGCCAAAGCCTCGAGTGAGAGCGTGGCGTGCGGGTTCGTTGTCCACGAAGAGCATGACGTGTCGGTCGAGCTGGTCCTCCATGGCGAACAGAGGCAAGATCTGAGCCACGATCTCGAGCATGTATATGTATGCCCGGCGACTCGTGAATGCTCGCACGAACCAGTACGGTACTCTTCCGTGAGCGAAGTGGGTCTGTCCCTGTACGGTAACCACAAAGCCCCATCCGTTGCGGAGTGTCTCCGGGGGTGTCCTTCCCCAGTTGGGAATGTCCTCGTCGGAGGGTTTCCAGTCCTTGTCGAAGAGGTTGAAGAACGCGTCGGCGTAGAGGACCGAGTGCGCCTCTTTGTCGAAAGGAAAGACCTTGGGCGTTGCGTGCCGCAAGCTCCAGCGTAATAGTCCGATCCCGTGGCGAAGCGGTCCATCGAGTCTCCAATCGCGATGATGACGACCAGCGCCTGTGAGTCGAGCTCTGCGAAACAGGGGCCGAAGAGCTGCAGCGTGCGAGCGACCTTGAAGTGACTGACAGTAAAACTGTAGTTTCCCCGCGAGGCTGGCTGCTTCGTGGGGTCTCAAGCGGTCCTGAGTGAGCACGTCCGCGAGCGCCTCGTCGAGCCTCTGTCTCCGCTCTTCTGTGCCCTGCACTGTGACGGACTCGTGGGACACAAAAATGTCGACGCCTTGGATGACCTGTCGCGGGGCCGGCGGTTGCTCCTTAGACTGCTTAAAAGAAAAAACCCAATGCTTTGCAAAGTCGACGCGAAGCGTCGAAGGACGAGTTGGCGAGCGTGGTGACCTCTGCGCTGCCGAAATCATCGACAAAGTGTAGCGCGGGCGTGAAAATGCATGCGCGGCATAACCAGCCCATGAGGTCCGCTATTCTGCAATAGGACCACACACTCGCCACTGACCCAAACATTAGAACTGTATGGCGCCAGAGAGTCACTCCTTCGGGCGTCGCAAGAACCACGTAGGTGTGCGACGGGTCGAGCGCTGGGAGCTGTCTGTAGGCCGACTCGTGATCAAGGCCCCATATGAGGATCTCGGCCTGCGGGTCGATCTCCTTGATGGCGCGAACCAGCTGCACGTAGGAGTTGACGTCGTGGTACGGAGGGGAGTCCTCCGCTGCGACCGTGGCGTTAGCGAAAGAACGTCTCCAGTCCTCGGCGCGGCGTACTTTGGGGCGGCCATCGGACCCGACCTGGTGGACTGCGAACGCGAAGCACGTCGGCTGGTGTTCGCCTGGGCCCTCGAGTAGCTTGCTTGTGTGCTCGTGCGATGCGAGCGGCACTGCGCTTTTGGGCCAGTCCGAAGGGCTGGTGAACGGGCCTTCCATGCGCCCGAGTGACACATCGGCTGCTATCTCGTCTGCCATCTGCTTCCAGCAGGGGTCGACGCGGCATCGACGAAGCTTGTCGACGACGTACTGCTTGTTCTTGACCATGAACTCCGCGATGTCCAGAGGGTTGGCGTAGCGGTCGTCGTTGCGTCGTTTCCAGCCAAGTCCTGGAGCCAGAGGTCCTAGAAGTCGAAAACCATGTGTGAGCTCGTCGAAAATGCCGAGGTCCTGCCAACCAAACAGTTCACAGATTCTGCGGAGCGCGGGCAGCTGCAAGGTGCACACTCCTGTGGTGCTCCGGTAGGCCTTCTGTACGTGAGGGCGGAGGCTCTGGTACCAAGACCTGGTCTCGTCTTCCATGTCCACAACCATCTCTTCGACCTGTTCCACGACTGCGAGGCGTAGTTCTGCCAAGTGGGCACGCATCTGGAACCAAATGCGAATCCACTGTTGCAAACCGGGCTCCATGAGTGCGTCGCTGTGATCCGGATGGGGAATGTGTCGTGACAACTTCCAGTGCTCCGCGGGGTCCTGCAGGTAGGAGAGGTCAAAGGAGTCGTAGTCGCCAGGTCCCGGGCCTAGGAGTGGCGGGCGACCTTGCCACAAACCAGCTGCTATGTCGAGTGCGGTTCCTCCTAGCGGGTTGAGCTCCTTGTCCGCCTTTGCGGGCGTCGCGGCAAACATGGCCATGATGAAGATCAGGCGCGCGGCTCCAGCGTGCCAGCCATTGGCTAGCGCTTTGTGGCGCTCGTGCTCGGAGAGCTTTATTTCCGAAGCACCGTGAAAACTTCAAAGGAATATGTGAAAGTTGAATATCAAAAAGTATGAATTCAACAATCCACTATTTCCAATATAAAAAGTAAACATGAAGACTCTCTGCAATCGGACTCATCTTTTCGCAGCTGGGGCAAGGTGCTGGCAGTCTGAGTCATAGGCTCAGGGATAGGCCCACTCTCCCCCGACTGTGTGGGCACTTGCCCAAGGGTGGGAGGGCGGGACAAAAATTTTCCTGCTCGAAAAGCTTGAGGGTGCATGCACGGCAACAAAGACATCGCACAACACCTCAGGCTATGATCGTCATGCACTCAAAAAGAAGAGTCATGCCGAACAGCAGGAAAAATTTCAAAGTAAAAGTTTTCACTAATTTCGTTCAAACGAAATTTGCTTTTGGAAATAAAGGTTTCATCCTTGTTAGAGGAGTTCGACCTTATTTCCGAAGCACCGTGAAAACTTCAAAGGAATATGTGAAAGTTGAATATCAAAAAGTATGAATTCAACAATCCACTATTTCCAATATAAAAAGTAAACATGAAGACTCTCTGCAATCGGACTCATCTTTTCGCAGCTGGGGCAAGGTGCTGGCAGTCTGAGTCACCCCAATGGAAAACACTGCCGTGCCACCGCATCCCAGTCGACGCGAAGCCTTGAGCATCCAATGTTCAAGAGACCTTCGTACTCACCTCTGCTCGGGGAGTCTGCAATGTTGCTATGCGTAGGTACACGGGCGTACCATGCGTGGATTTGAAGGGAAGTTTCCTTCGAGAGGATGCCATCGATAATCACACGAGCGAGATCGGCGCCTCCTCCCGCGGCTATTATCGAATGGCGGGCACCTTCATTATCCAAGTAAAAAACGGCTTGAGAAAATCTGCACCACTGGCCCCAGAGCCTATAAGCAACTAGAACCGGCAGAAGTTCAAGTTCGAAAATGGGATTCTGCGAGTTGCTCAACAAGATCTTCATGATATCCAGTGGGACTTGCTCACTGAAGAAGGATATCGGATGGCCACTCAAGCCCACGATCACTCCTCCAATGGATCCTAGCTTCTTCTCGCCTTCGCAGGCTCCATCTGTGAAGATAAGCCAAGAGTGATGGTTTTTGGTAGCGATGGTCACAGGCTCAGCCACCCTCAGCCTCTCGCGAATGACAACGAGGCTCTTTCTAACATCCTCGGGCAGCCTCTTCGAGGTGAGTCCCGCCCTGGCCGCTCGATCCACAGTTCGGATGGCCGAATTCGACATTCGCCCGAAAACAAACCCCTCGAAAAACACCAACCTGCCGCGGAGCCTTTCAGCGGTCTTAAGGTCGAGACAATTGGCTTGCAAGATGTCTTCGATGAACACGTTCAGTTCTTCGCGACGCTCGGCAGTGTTGCCGATTCGCACAATCCCCCGAGGTGCATCATTCAAATCGACTCTGACTCCAAGCAGTTTAAAGTCTCGTGAGAACGGTGGTGCCTTTTTGCCCTCCCGAGCAAATTCAACTCCAAGAAGATCGAAAATGGCACATATGCAAGAGTCTGTGTTGGCAACAAGCTCATCGCGAGTCGTGACTCCGTAGTCATCGAAAAATGCGGTCCAGAAGATACTGAACAGCCTCACTCCTATCAGCCAGATGCTCAACGAGATACGGAGGAAAGCAGCAACACTTCCCACCGCACCGAACGGTAAGGAGTTTGCTCCCATAATCATGGGCTCCGCCTCTCCTGGTTTGTTAACTGCAAATCTGAAAAGCTCCCTGTCTGTAGGATGGATTCCAAACTGTTTGTACGCACTCTTAAGGTCGTATACACGACCTTTGCAGGCAGGCAGTCTGCCCTCATTGATGCGTAGCGCCTTGGAGATCCACGCAGCATATCTATCAATGGAATGCATTTGGAAACCATACTTCAAGCCAACGGTAGCGTTGATGCCACAAATGCTGGCATCGTCTATGACACGCACTTTGTCAAGCTGTCTGATTCCAAATCTGCGGGCCAGAGCGCAAAGCTCTATGCAACTTTTTGTGTCAGCAAAAATCCAACCCTTTTGCAGTTCCTTCTCAGTTTCCTGCCAAGTTGCCTTTTCCAAGTCTTCATCCTGCCGGACACGCATTTTCGCAATCGTCGACTGATTCAGACCTTTTGCTAAGCAACTAAGGGTGGAAACCGAAAAGGAGGGTGGCCTAACCTTCGGAGGGAAAAGCCCTCCCTGCGATAACCAACCAGACAACTTAAATCCATCACACATGTGGGTGATTAGCTGGTCATCTGGAGATCCAGCTGCTTCGTGCATTTCTTGCCACAAGAGCAACCGTTTGCCCTCCAGCAGACAACGAAGGTGCTCCGGCAAACTCCGGTGTAACTCCTCCTCTTTCTGCTCTAATTGCTTGGCTCGTGCAGTCCAATGTTTAAGAGCAGCAGCACGAGAGGTGACAGTTTGCGCCGGCGGGTCGCTGAAGTTCGCTTTGATTGCATTTACGACAAGCTTCGAGACATGTGCACTTCCGTCCCTAGGGTGGCCGGCTTGCACTGCTCTTTGCACGAAGGCTTTGGGTTCGGAAGGCAGGCCAATTCTAATCAACTCACCTTCAAGCAGTTCTGATTTGCCATCTGCAATGGAAATTTCACCGGAGGATATGCTCAAGGTCTTACAAGCCTCTTCGTAGCCCCCATCAAAGGTCAGGCGAGACAAGACCCGAGCTCCTTTAGGCAGTCCAGCAAGTAAAGATTCATCGGCCGACGGCGGGTCAGCAGGCACAGCCACGAACTTGAAGGATACAAACTCTTGCACTAAAGCAGGGTTGCGTCGGCCGCGCGGCAAGGCGTTCAACGCCAACCTGCCATCGAAGGTGGAATCCGAGTTTGAGAAACCGTGCCAAACTCACGAACTCCTGACTGGAGAAGGGCAGCTTTGGCTTTGGCGATGACACGTTGACAGAAAAGACTGGGCAAACCTGGAGGCGGATCGCCAGTCTTTCGCGGCACCCACGGTGCGTGTGAATGCAAGCCCGAGCACTTGAGGGCCAAGGCTGACCAATCCCCTTGTGCAGTGGCCATTTGGTAAGGCCGAGGGCGGCCGTCACCATGACAACACAGGTCACATCGGTGCAACTGCAAAGGGAAACTTTGAATCAGCTGAAGGACGAATGGATCATCCCAAAATTGCGATTTTGGAGAACCCGCTATGACAAAGGGAATTTCAAGACTGGCGGCAAGCTCACCCAAGGCGCAAAGATTTGCTGCCCAAGAGGAGCACGGTTGAGACGGCAGCTCGCACCAGACAAGAGCGAGTCGCTTTTTCTCGGCCTCGACAAGTTTTTGGAAGCTCTCCAAGTCGTTGCCCAAGTCAAGTGGTAGACACCTGACCCCATGCACGAAAGATGGGGGCGCACTGCACAGTATATGTCGCAGGCCTGCAGCTCGGGCAGCACGATGCAGATCGGCAGTGCGACCATTTACTTCAAGGAAAAGGTAGTCCCCGACATGGCCTACATTTGCCTGAGAATCGGCATTCACCGGGCTTCTGGACCTCTCCTGAAGATCACGCTTGATCGGCGTCCGCACGGGCGGAGCGACGGGCCTATTTGGGCTAGAACCACACCCTGTTCCAGGCATCTTGGCGGGCACTTCGAGGGTAGAGCTGGTCTCAGCACTTGAAGTGGCAGCGCTAGCAACACCCGAAGAGGGGGAACTAAACCCAAGGGTCCTATGGGGGGAAGGCGCGGGTCTCGATGGGCACTGAAAGCCGATGTCAATCAGCCTCTGGCGATCGTCACACGGCAGTCTTTGGAAGTCCCTGACGTGGTATCCTACCAGCACCAGTCGTCGCCCCGTCCAGGGGAGTGTAGCATGATACAAGTTCCTCGCATCCAAAGTGATTTTGTTGTTTTCCCAAGACAACTCATGACCCTTCAAGACGCGTCCCTTTGGATCAGTCACCTCAATGTCACCATCACCCTCTACCCAAACGGCCCCGCCCTGAAACTCGGACAACTTCAGCAGGATGTTGCAGTGGGAGTCGTCGTTGTTGGAATCGCGATGCACCTCGGCGGAACAGTCATCTAGAATAACAAAGCTTGTAAAGCACTCGCCCGGAGCCAAACTCCGGATTTGCGCCGCAAAGACAGCGCACACATTTGGAAAAAGATTGGTATTTGAGTGAAGGCCATACAGACCCCCTTTTGCATACGCCCCGGCAGCGAAGGAGCGTCCAACACACCCCCGTGGGGGGCTCTGCATCGGCAGCAGCTCAATCAGCTGCGACAGCGAAGATTTATCGAAAGGAGCAGGCGTTTGCAAAATTGACGCGGCGAGAGACTCCACATCACTCGAGGCTCGCGAAGCTTCACTCGAGGCAGCGGGAGTCTCCTCAACCTGTCACGAGCCTCCTTTCCGGCAGTTTGGAAAGCTGTGGCCAGGCTTGTGGCATCCGGCGCAAACATGGTATCCCTTTGCACACTTTGTTCCATGGGCATCCTTCTTGGTTTCAAGCGAACACCCCTCGGCAAGGTTAAAAGCCCAACAAATGGGCCCGGCCTTGATCTTGGTGACACATCCCTTCAAAGACTCCGGTACAAGGCCGGTAAGACGCTTGCGCTTCTTCTTCTTGGTATCCTTCTCAGCCAACGCTGCAGCAGCAGCCGAGTCGGTAGGGATGGAAGGCGGTGGAGCGACTTTCTGCGGCTGCGGTGCCGTAACAAGATGAACGACTACGCGAGGGTCTTTGGCCAACCGCCTCAAAGCAGCCGCCATCACCAGCTCGCCAGCCGCATCCTTCACCCCAATTGGTCCCTCGATCTCACGGCTCATCAGTGTCCAAGCCTCCCGGTCTGCCCGAATGACCTGGGCGATCGCGGGCCTGGCTCCTGACACCGGCTCTCCATGAAGATAGGACATAAGGCTCTGTACGTACCACTCATGGTCCGACCAGCCGATGAGGCTGCACTGATCCAATGCCAACCCTCGCCTCTGGAAGCAATACAGAAGCTGCAAGGCAGTGGTTGTATCAGCATCAGGCAACTTGCTGCTCGAACTGACCTTCAAGGTGCCTGCCTCAATTTGTACCAACGAGGTTTTCTCTTTCCCTAGCTGTTGCACCTCAGCATCACGCTTAGTGCAACGCGAGGGGCTGATCCAAGTAATGCTGTTCGACTCTGACATCAGGGCACAAGCATCTACCAGCGCGTAGCTTGGCTGCAGCTCTCCCTCTATCAGCAGCCCGGGAAGTCGGGCCTTCTGCGAGGTCAAACGCGCTTGCTTTTCAACATGCGGCAGCTTGCGACCTGCAAGATCGGAATCATCCGCCGTCGCCTGTGCTCGCAACTGTGCCACTACAAGTGTAGAGGCCTCGAAGATAAGCATGCGAACATTTGCAATTTGTCCGATCGTAGGCTGAGTACCCTCGGCACACTTGTAAACCTTAGCCGCAAGGTCCTTCAGAGAATCATCGGACGGTGGAGTTTGTGGGCTCCCCAGTGCAAATGCCAACTGACGCAGCGTCTTCACTCCATTGGCCTTTAGAGACTCGAAAAGGGAGTCATCCCCCTCCACGGGCAGGCACCTTTGTTTGAGCGAAGCCTCACTGTCAATTAAAGCCATCGCGCGGAGAAACTGAGCAGATACCACAAACAAAAAGTGCAATGCCCTCATGTGATAATCAGACTGCGAGTGCCTACCAACATGAGATCACAAAAGCTTCAAGTTGAACCGCAAGCACGCCCACGACAACTCACCAAGTGAATTCCCTCGGCGCCCTCAGCTCAAACGAAGCAGTACAGCTCACTAGACAGAGAACCGATTTTCTCAGTTGCCAGCAGCTGCCGACCTCATACACTGGCTACACACTCCCGTATCATACCTCATTAGGCCCGGGGCAACATATGCTTGCGAGAGCGGCCTTCCACACATCAGTCGCCGCACATATCCATCCTTTTTCAAGTGACAGATCCTGGACTTTGCATGCCTGACGAAACTGGTTCCCTCAGGTGCTGAAGGAGGGTGCAACAGCCGCGGCGGTCTGGGGCCCGCTCCACTCCCATCGCTCTCTGAAGAACTAGAGGCCCCTTCTGCCGAAGAGTCAGGATCTTCATTAGCGGCACCCCGTGCCTCTTCATCGTCCAATCCTGCCAAGGGGTCGCCAATGCCCCCAGACAAAGAAAGTCGCTCCTCGGGGTCGTCGTGGTCGAAGCCCAATCCTTCGACGAGACTATGTAAGCCATCTGCTTGAGGTTGCATGTCTTCAGGTAGCGAGATTTCCAGATCGCGATTCCTCCCCTCACTCGAGGGAGGCAAATCCCTCACCTGGTCCCACCAAGCCTGCTCAAGCTCTTCTGCAGATGTAAACCTCCCCGAACGGGTGTTGTCGGGATGGAAGCGGCCATCCCTCACCCACTGCAGCATCCGGCCTAGCTCATAAAGCGGACCTGCGGCCGCGTCTCGGCTGTAGCGGAAAACAGTCTTGCTGGTCCCCACGTGATATCCCAAACACGCCCTGACATCTTGGGATGCTCCGAATTTCGCCATCCAAGAAAGCAACGTGCACTTCGCAGAATGGCTGGACAGCTTTCTGTCGGCCTCCGCCGCGCCCGGAAGGAGTTTCCTGATCCAAGCTGTCATCTCACCTGACGAGAGCGGACGCACCGTCGGCCGTCCCGTAACATCAGGCGCGGGCATAACTGGCCATCCACCTGTGCAAGGCTTGAAACCCACGGCCTCGCACCGGCAAAGCCAACGTTCAACCCATTGGTTCGATGTGACCCCAACGCACGGCCCGGTCATAGTCAAGAACTGGTGTCGATGTTGCCTCGACTGCATTGACTTGTGATGCCCGGTGATCAGATCGATGTAACACAATCGACCCACGGCATCGCGGTCCAATTGTAAGTCCTCACAGCACTGCAAATCAGCCCATCGTGACCTCAAGTAAATGGCGGTCAACACTGCTCCAGCAAAGACTGCATCCCAGTCGTCAGAAGCCTGGTGTACTATCCCATGCAACTCCAAAACTTCCTCTAAGGAGAAAGGCGAAGCTTGGTTGACCCGCGCACGCGGCTCAACATAGCACACTCCTTGGCACCTTCTGCTAAAAACCAGCTCCTCGCACTCTTCAATGTTCAAGACGAAGTAGCAAAAGTTCAAAGCTTCAAGGATGCCCTTCCGTCCGGACTGGGCCTTACCTTTGGCACGTAGCTTGCACAAGGCATCATACAAATGCTGCTCGTCAGGAGGGAAAAGGAGCCCTTCCTCCGAGAGCAACTTGTCAAGCAAGAAAAGAGACGAGGCCCTCTTGTTCAAAGTACTAGGAGCCTTTGGTCTCAAGTAATCAGCCAAGATGTCCATGCCTTCCACCACAGTGGCACTGGAGACTTGCTTTACCACCAGAAGCTCCGACTTCCAAAGCAAGACCAAATTATACCACCTCTTGATAGCTTTCTGTGTTTGACAATCCAAAGCTTCCTTCCAAGACAAAACCTCAATGTTTTGCACACATTGCAGGTATAACCTCCTGCCAGCAAGGCTCGGCTGCAGAATCTTACGAAGTTCCACATCCACCGGGCGATCTGTAGCAGCGGGTCTGCAAAGGGCTGAAGCACTGAAATCTTTGAACAAGTCACAGGATGGCAGCAAAGCACTCAAGGGGTCTTCGGGCTCTTGAGGACGCAAGGAATTCCAGGCTGAGCGAACCTCCTCTGCGAAGTCGGGCTTGTTTGCCCCCATAGCGACCACACGACGCAGCAAGGAGTTTCACGGCAGGGGCCGTAGACCAGCGTTCACATCAAGAGTGTCCTCGTATCCATGCGACGTCCCGCCCCACCCACTAGAAGCACCGGGTTAGCACCTTGGGCCTTTTAGCAAGATCCTACACGTGTCTGCCGGGTGGCCTGCCACACCTACCAGTGCTCACTCCCCTTGCAGCGAGAGCAAGCCCTCAAGCCACTATTCCGTCGGGGGAACCCTGGCAACGGTGTACGGCACCACAACAGAAGGATCTCAAGGCTCACAAAAATTTTTCTGCTCGAAAAGCTTGAGGGTGCATGCACGGCAACAAAGACATCGCACAACACCTCAGGCTATGATCGTCATGCACTCAAAAAGAAGAGTCATGCCGAACAGCAGGAAAAATTTCAAAGTAAAAGTTTTCACTAATTTCGTTCAAACGAAATTTGCTTTTGGAAATAAAGGTTTCATCCTTGTTAGAGGAGTTCGACCTGCTGGTCCAACCTTGTGGCAAGTGATGCCATTGCTCCTTCACCGATGGTGGAGGAATCACGAAGCGGCCTTGACTGTCCGCCATCATGACGCCTGCTTCGTAATGCCAAGGAGCGAATCGTTGTCGATCGGCACGCCATCGTTGATTCGCTTCACTGCTGATCTTGCCCTTACAGCTGCGTGGAGCGGGGCGTCCTTGTGGGTCGTCTGAAGGTGTTGTGAGACACGGGAGCGGCTTGCCCTCCTCGACCAGGCACCTCGGCAAAGAAAGTCCTTCGGTCTTGAAAGCGTGCGGGTCGTCCTTGACGAGGTCGAAGTGCACTCGTGGGATGCCTTGCATAGTCGTCCACCGAATGCGAAGAGGACAATCGGGTCGATGGGCGATTTCCTGCCATGGCACCCTGCACCACCAGGCTCTTGGTCGGGATATGGTGCCGAAGTCTGCGGCGTCATGGACCACGGCGGGCGAGTCGAGGGACTTCTCGATCTTGCGCATATCCGCTCTGTTCTGTGGGATGACGTTCTCCACCATGACGACGGCGCGGGGTCTTTGCCATCTCTTTTCCAAATCCACCACTAGCTGGGCGAATCGAGCGAACTTGGATCCCTCCGTACCTTGGTGACCAGGCGCGTCTGAGCGAACGCGTGAAAAGTCATGACATGGAGGGCCTCCTGCTATGACCACAGTCGCTCGTCCTGCGGGGTCCAGCTCCTGAACCAAGTCGTGCAAAGACTCGGGCGTCTCCTGGTCGAAGTCGCCACGTTGCACCACTTCAGGGAAGTGGTCGTGTAACAGCTTCTTCAAGTTGGGGTCGATCTCCCACGATGCGCCACGCCACTGGAGACCATTGCTGCTGCAGTACTCGTCGCAAATCAAACAAGCGGTGCCGAGGCCATCGAAGAAACTGAGCATGACGATGTCGCGGGCGATCGCCGTTCTTGATGCGGATGGTCTCGGCCTTGCTGCGGAGCGTCACTGACTGGGGTGGCTTTTGCTTGTCGTCGTAGGGAGATCTTCGGGAGCGGGGCAATGGCGACCTCGAGCGAGCGAAAACTTGGCTGTCTTCGCTTTGCGGTGGGTCGGGTCCACCCCTGTGGGATGGCCCGTGCTGTCCCTATTCCTGCTGCTGCCATTGCTTGCGGCTGTCGTGCTGCTGTCGCCAATCAGTCTGGCGCCATTGCGATCTGTCGTCGTCGTGCTGGCGACCTTTGCCGTGACCTTGCCAGTGTGGGCGATCTTCCTCATGTTGGCGACCGCGGCCTTGGTAGTGGTTCCACTGGCGATCGTATTGAGGTTGGTAGCGATGCTTTCCGCCACCCTTGCCATTCCCTTTGCCTTCCGAGCGCTCCCACCACCGCTGCTGGCCTTTGCCGTTTCGACCCTTGCCTCGGCCTCTGCCTCCACGAGGGATGTCGTGCCAAGGGGTCTCGGTGTTCCTTGGGGCGCGTGCGGGGCGATCTGGCTGAACTTCTGTGCTCATGGCCTCTTGGAGAAGCTGGCTGTCGGCCATGATCTCGTGCGCGATGTCCCTGAAAGGCTGCTTCTTGCGCAGCGCGAGAGCGATGCGCCACGATGTATTCTCCCAGTGGATCTTGAGCTGGTCGATCTTGTTGGGGCGGCTGCGCACCAGCCGCTGCCACCATGAAAAGTACTCGTCGATGTCGCTCTCCGGGGCGTACTCGATGAAGATCAGGGCGACGCGAATGGCCTCGAGGCAGTCGAGAATGGCTACCTGGCTCTTCGGCTTCCAAGGCGTCTCGGGTTCGGTCTCGAGCTGAAGGTCGGCGTTCACGACCAAAGTGGTGACCTGTTCCTGTGACCGGGCCCGTTTGCGAGCTGAGCTTAGGGTGTTGGGGAGGAGCGCCGCGGTGAAGTGCCTGTGCTGCACGATCTCCTCCAAGGGGATCGCGTTGTGGGCGAGGTTCTTGGCGTCGTTGAGGAGCTTCGCGATCACGGCCTCGGCTCCTAAGAGAGTCATCTCGGGGAACTTGCGAGGGACTCCATGTATGAGCACGGCTTCATACTTGTGTATCTGCTGCTGCCAATACCCTGGCGGCAGCTCCTTTGTCTTGGAAGTCGAAGTGGCTGCGGCCGCGGTCGTGGTCGGGGAGCTGCTCGCAGCGTTCGGTGCTGACTTCTCGCGAGCCTTTCGCCAGGCGTGGCGCAGTCTTGCGCGAGCCACTGGCAGCTCGGCGTCACTCACTTCAAACACCTTGCCGTCCTGGAGCTTGAATGGCGAGGCGAGCGGCTGTACCATCGCTTGCTCGAACTCCTTCACGTCCTCGCCCATCTCGGCGAAGATCGCGGTGGAGAGGATGCCTTTGGTCGCGACGTAGGCGATCAGGTCATCTGACGCGCCAGCGTCCAGGAGAAGTGCTCGCAGGCCGGTATCCATGACAACCTGTGCGCGAGAGCTGGGGCTATGCTTAAACAGAAAAACTGCAGCGGGGCGGTGCGATAACTGTAGTCGATGCCGTGTCACGTCTCTCTCAAGGCTCTCGGTCTCTTTTCTCGGGCGGGGCGCAGCGAGGCTGCGGGTTAGATCGCTCAGCTAGAAGAGGAGTCATAGCTGTCAGTGGACTCCGTGTCGGACGGCTGCTGCCCGGCCGCCTTCTTGCGACTTTCTGCCCCTGCCTCGGGGAAGCACTTGAGGCACAGGTTCTGAGAACCATCGTCATGTGCCCGGGTGAAGTTGGAGTACCCGTACGGCCAGCCGCAGCGAGCACGCCATTTCGCTGGCGGTCGTGAGGACTCCTCGGGGTCCCTCATGTGTGCCTTGCGCTTGCAAACCAGGTCCGGCCTGTCCTGGATCAACTCGAGGCGTGCGGCTATGTCGTCAAGCGATCCGATCATTGCTGCCACGGCCTCTTTGTCCTCTGCGTCTGTCTTTGTTGAGCGAGCTTTCTTCGTCGGTCGAGGCGGAGGCGCTGGCTCGGACTCCTCCAGGTTATGCACGAGGGTCCAGGGAGGGGAGTCGTGCGCCTTGTCCTTGAGGGCTGCAGGACCAGGCGGCAAGGTCGGAAGGCCGGCAGCCGCAATGCCGTAGAGGGCGTCCTCGAGTTCGGTGTCCTGGACGTAGCGCTCGATCGCGCGACTCCCCCATCTCCCGAGCAACATGATCGTGCTCACCGGTATCCTCATGCGACACAGGTGTTGGGCGCCCGAGACTCGAAGACAATGTCCCCCGAACCTGTTCACCTCGGGCTCGAGGGGAGCTCCGGCTCTGGTCAGTGGCACGTCGGCCGCGGTGAGAACTGCGTGGATCGCCTCGATCGTCTGTGCCTTCGTCATGGGCTCGCCAGTGTCGGCTGCGAAAATAAAATCCTCGGAGTCGGAAGAGCACTGGTCGGCGATGCGGAGCGCCGCGTGGTAGGGGCAGATCGTCTCCGGGATGGTGCCGCAATAGCACGAGTGTCTTCGCTGCACCATTGACCCCACGGTGTCGTTCTTGCTCGCGGACAGGGTGAGGCATACTTGCTTTCTTTCGGAGTCGAGAGTCATGTGCTTGACCCGGAGCGCGGAGAGCTCGATCTCGCGGCAAAGAAACCAGGATCCCAGGACCACCATGGCATGGTGAAAGCGGAGCCTTTCCTCGAGCAGGTCAATGCAGATGTCGAGGGAGTCGAGGCGAAAGGCGTCCTTGGGGGAGTTGGTGCCCATGCCTCGCTCAATGGACCTGATGGCGTCGCGTATCGCCAGTTCCACGGGCGGGGGGACAGCTTGGCCCGTGACATGTATGTGCTCCTTGCGAGCCCGAGAGAAGTACTGAGCGGAGCTGCGGTATCCCCCGCTGCGAAAACTCGTGCCGACCTTCTCGATGGTATCGGCGGTCAGAGGCACGGGGCTGATTCCCCAGGCCGCGCAAATTTTGCACCATGTGACCCAGCGAGCGTCATTCGGGGCCCGCGCGGAGCGGGCGTACACATTGTCCCGAAAGTCTCGCAAGGCCTCCTCCGAGTTGAGCGGGTCAGCGGCTGCCAAGGCCTTGTTCAACATGCCGCCAGCCGAGGTTCTCGGAGCAGGCTGCTCAAACCGCGGCGCGGGTCCGCGGGGCGGGGCGCTCCCTTGGCTGGCTTCCATGTGGTCTTTGTACCCCGACATGACCAACATGACCTCGATCTCACCGGCGAGTCGATGGTCGACGTGCTTCGCGCGGAGTGCCGCATCATGTATGCTTTCGAACCCCAGCTCGCTCATCTTGTCGATGGTTTGCGGCGACAACCCGGCCGAAACCGCTGCTTGCATGAAGTCCACGAACGAGTGGTAGTCGAAAGCCGACATGGCGTGGCGTGCGCGCGCGTGCACAACGTACGAGCAAAGCAACCTGAGCCTTGAAGAGAACGGCTACGCAGAGCGGGCGTCCAGCTTCTTGTGCATGAAGTGATGTGACCTGACAGGTTCGAGCTGCGGGGCGTCGGGCGGGGAAAGGTGCAAGCACTCGAGACTGTCGTTGCGAGCGAGGCGAACCGAACACGAGGCACGACATGAAAGTGCAGACTGCGCATGCCCTCGCAAACAGAGTCCCTTGCAAGCACTCGAGGGAGAGAGTCAACGCGAGCGGAGACCTAATGCAAGAGAAGAGGCGCTCCTGTCAGCTGGCTTCGGAAGAGAAGAGAGTCAGAGAAAGGAAAGACCTAATGCAAGAGGGGAGGAGCAGCACTCACTCCCTCCTGTGGTTCGGGCGGGGGGAGCGGGCTCGTCGCAGAAGCTCGGACCCCTTCTTTTGGCGGCGCGGGCGGCGCAGGGGTTGCGAGGCGAGGCGGTGATTGCTGTATGACCGCCGGTCGCCATGGAAGAATCAGAAGGCCCGCTCTTCAGCGCCTTCCTGCGGAGCGAGCGCGCTCGCATGGACCGCAAAAATGATTGCCGTGTGCCGTCCCCGATCGCGTTCGGATGATGGGACGAAAGCACCGGCCCTGACATACTGGCGTGCGGTCGGCCTTGCGCGTCTCGCAGCCCAAGTTGCAGTAGCCTTCCACGCGGTGGTCGGCGTATTTGCCGGGTGGAGGCTGTGCCGGGACGCCCGGTGGCAAGTTCCAAACGACATTGGTCTCGCCCGTCAGCAAGTCGCATGGCTCAGGCCACCCTTCCCAAGCGCGCAGCCGCTCTTCACGATCGCGGCGACGAGCGATGCGAGCCTGGTCGCGGGACACCTCGGCGGGCGAAGGAAAGGACGCTTTCGCCACCGGCGGGTCGGGCACCGGAGTCGGCTGACTCGGTCCGGGCGCCCCATCATCCTCGTCGGTGTCCTCCGCTGTGGCGTTGGCCCTTGTTGCTGTCGAGGCTCCTGCCGTGGAGGGTGGGTCGGGCCGAGCGGGCGACACGCACAGCAGCCTGCGTGAGATGACCCTGGGCTGGTCATCGTCATCATCATGGTCGTCCCCGTCGTCCTGGCCTCCGTCGTCGTCCTGCTCCACCGGGTCCTCGGGCGTGGCGTCCTCGACGTCAGAGGTGGATACTGGCTGCGAGGCAGCCGCCGTAGCCTGCAGGAAGTCCTCAAGGTCGGGCGCCAGCTCGTCGAAGAAAACTTCCGCCGGCGGTGAGCTGGGCGGCGGCAAAGGCGGAGCGGGCGAAGGCGAGGCCGAAGGTGGTGGTGCCATCAGTTCCAGGTCTTGTGGCACTGTGTCCACGTACGGCTGGGTGAAGACTGCCGCCAAGGTGCTGTCGTAGTCGCTGGGTCGTTGTGGCGGTCGCTTCTGCTGAACCACAGCCTTGGCCGGCGTCGCGATCGGAGCTGCGGAGGCAGCCTTTGCTTTGGCCGGCGAGGCGGGCGGGTCCTGGATCGTCGCCTTCTTGGGCGTGGTGATAGCCGGGACGCCCTTGGCTCCACTGGAGGCCTTCGTCTTCGGCTGCTCCGTCCCCGTCGGCTGCTTCGGTGGAGACGTTGAAGAGCTCGGTGGCGGGCTGGTGCTCGACGGCTTGGCGGGCATGGCCTTGAGCGGAGGGCTCGCGGCCTTCCCCATGCTCTTGAGCAGCGGTCCGGGCATCGGCGAAGGCGTTGTCCCTTGCGTCAGCATCTGCTGCTGGGCCAGCTCGAGCGTGCGGTCGCGAGCCGAGATCCTGGCCGCGTAGTGGGCATCGGTACCCATGAGCACAGTGTGCCCGATGCCGAGCACTCTGCGGAGCTGCACCGAACCCAGGCTCCGGAGCAGAACGCGCAAGTCGTCGTCATCCAGGAGAGGAAAGGTCTCGAAGACCGCCATGGCGTTGCGGAACTGCTCCACTGTCGTGACTGCTCCGGCAGCACCATCAGCCGCGGCCGCACTTGTAGTCGGGGAGCTCGAGGACATTGCGGCGCGAGCGGGCGGCTATCCTGAAAAGCTTGAAAGAACCTCGAGCGGGCAACAGCTGCGGTTGTCTGCTGTTGCCGCTCGTACATGTCACTCCGTGCACACGTGCACTACACTACAATAGACAACAGCCAGCTGCGCGGTCCACGATCAAAAGCGAACAGGTCTCCGAGGATGCACGGCTCCTTTGCAGGTGAAGGAGACATTAAGGTTCAACGGAACTTCGACCCCCCATGGAATGCACTGGCCCTGCCTCCAGGGTGCACCCCCCCTAGCCTCCATTTCCTCCAGCCTGAAACGCAGAATCAGCTGGACAGAGTCTACGAGGGAAAGGGCATCCAGCTCGACGAAAAAGCCACAAGACACCAAGACTGAGGAGTATGCCTGATGCAAACCTGTCAACATGCAGCACCATGAGCACAGGACTGAAACATGCAATAGCAGCGGTGCTGTTGGCGATTTTGCTGCCTCTCGCGCAAGGCGCTCGCAATGGCCCTCGTTTCCGCCGGGCGTTGCGCAGAGCACCCTCGGTTCCTAACAGGACTTAGATCAAGCAGTTTTCAGGCTCCTACAGTGCAGCTCCTGCCCCAGTGTTGCGAAGAGCGTGGCCAGACCTGCAGCGAGGAGAGCAAAAGCCAGGGCACAACCCTGGCAGTAAGTGCCGTGCAACATCCAGCTCGCTTCCAGTCGAAAGCCTCCTCAGTGTTGTCGTGTACACAGGGCGGCAAGAGCGACGTGGACTGCAAGACATTGCAAGACAAGCACGATGCGAACGAGGCCATGCACAGACACGGAGTCAGAAACATCTCACGGAAAAGGAGTGCCGCCTGCGCCTGCTGCTTTCGCAGCACCGCCCTGGGTGCCCTTCTAGGTTAGGGTTCTCGTCCTCGCTGACCTCGGCTTGCCTGCCCTGTTGGGCCCTCCATCTGTCGCGCCCTTTGCCAAGCGATCGCACTTTTCAGCGTCTCCTTCGCGTGGTCGCGGGCTTGTATGGTTGGGTTTCGGCCCCTCTTTTTTCCCCAATCTTCCTGCACAGAGCCGCAGGCGGCTTGGTAAGGACGCAGAGATACTTGCCCGACTCCCAAGTCCAGGCATTTTTGGGCCTTCAGCCGTCATGTCCGGTACATCAAGATCTAGTCTCTGAAGGAATGGAAGAGGCATGGCATCACGAAAAAAGGGTGCTGTCTATCTTTCTGTCCGACCCTCCTGAGCCCACAGCTTGCGAAGCGATGCCCAGCAGACCCTTTAAGCTGTCACCATGGTCCTGCTGGGAGCACTTGTTGGTTGCAGGGACTGGTTTGCAGGTTCTCCAGATGCAACTGGCACTGCATCTGCTACCATTTCAGCCTTCTGACCTGCATGTGAAAGGAGTGGTCATCGTAGGCCAGCATGCTGAGGTTGAGCTCCGAAAACGTTGAAATTTTTGATACCGCCTCCAGTGTGCCGCAACATTGCTAGCAAAAAACTGGACGACTCGACGATTCTATTTCACGAAGAGGACCCACGCAAAAGCGCCGACCAGCTCTCAACGCCTCCAGGGACTCTGCCAGTCTTTGCAGCATTAGATCCTGGCTCGAGCAACACTCCAGAAAAAAAAGCAAAAGCTTCACATCCGTTGTTTCTAGCGGTTCTAGCTTGATTGCCAGCGACGGTTGCCGAATGCTCTCGCAACAATCGTGTGCAAGGACACCAAACAAGTGCCTCGAGGCGATGGGAGAAGAAGATATGGGAGCTTCGATACTTCGCAGACTTGGTGGAAAGCTCCTTGCCAAGCACTCACGATACAATTCGCAGACGGGCACCATGCGATGTGGACCAGTCTTTGTTTGGCAGCCGCAAGCTCCGACTCACAGGATGAACAGAATTGGTGCAACATTGCAGCTGTCCGGTGCCTTTTACGTCTTGTCTTTCCCCACAATCCTCCACCAAGCGGTCCATGTTCTCCAAGCTGGGCGCCAAAAAGTACACTGCATCCAAAGGCAGGGCCTGGCAGGGTGCGATCAGGCAAACCCTCCCATGCTCAGCACAACAGCGGATACAAAAGCGGATATGGTGCCGAGGACGTGATTCGGACATGCACATGCTGCAAGCTGGTGTCCGCAGAACTGAGCACTCCCATGTCAGAGAAGAATTGAAATTCTTTGCGCCTTACGCCCGTCACCCTCACTTGTGACGTCTCATTGGCGTCCCTATCGATGCCTCGCTTTTGCCCCTCCAAGCCTTGCTTGGCATTAGCCTGATTGCGATGTTCGGCTTCGGCTTCACCGTTCTACTTGTTGGCTGATTTCACTGCTTCGCTTTTTGGATTTGGTTCACTCCGTAGAGTTGTCGGCTGCTTAAAGCTCTGGCCTTCCGTTCTGATGTCTTAGTGTGGATTTGCACTTTCGGACTTAAAGCTGCTGCTGGGATCTTTAGGTTGGGCTCCTCGAGGGGCTTCCTTCGCCTGGGGCGGGGCTTCACCCGGCCCGAGGACACCAATGGCCGACAGCCGAAGTGGAGTCTGCCGAAGAATAGGCACATCCGCGGAAGAACGGAGAACCAACGATGACCCCAAGGATGGACTGGGACTTGGAGACATTTCTACCTTGCCTTCGAAATTGTGGCCGGAGCAGCACCACTTCATTCGGTGATTGATCCAAACTAGGCTTCCTGAAGAAAGGACAAGCTTTGCATGGGCGTTGAGCTACTTGCGGTCTGCTTCGCAGGGTGTGCAACCTCCGAGCAACAAAAATGCAGAAGTGCAGTCCGAGTATCAGGCACAGCTTAAGTACATTGCGCCCAGTTCATTCAACAGCAGTGTTCGCATGCGTTGGCAGTGGGTGCCTGGAAATCGTTTTGCATAGTTCGCCTTCACTGCCGAATAGCAGTCTAGATTTTGATCTCTCACATTGGTCGTAAGTTGCACAGTCGGCAAATCAGGCTTGCTCATGCGCTGTTCACAAATATTCAAGCCCCCTCGAACGGACCTACCGAAGCTTCTCTCGGGACTCGAAGATTTGCTTTCTACTTGCAAAAGCATATGAAGATGCGACCGGATAAGTACTAAGATCGCAAGAACTGCTGTGCTCTAGAAAATGTTGTTCTATTGCATCGTGTTGGTCGCATTGTTGTTGCTTTTTCGCCGTATATAGGAACATATGCGGATACAGTCGTATTCATAAGGTGCCTGTAATACTGTAATACACCAGCGGCAACAATAACCTTCACAGGGGCAAAACGGCAAGATGGGACAAACCTCTAGGGGACATTCATGCATGTGGTCTTCTGTTCTGGTGGCAAATATTTCACAGCAGCCAATACTAGATAATTCTGGCAGTTACTAGCACATGCTGTTAGTGTAGACACAACTCAATGAGAACCCATCGCCTACAAATATGGAATCCACCTAACTCTATTTAGGTCCGCAAGACCGTACCCGATACTCAAAAGCCTAGACCTTAACTAAGGGGCACTCACAAAAGCCGGAAACACCGTCACAAGAGAGTATCGAAAGACAAGCAAGCCCGGCCCACAAGGTATCAACCCATTTTGTTGAAGAAAGGTTGAAGAAAGGTTGCCTACACCAAACCTGTGTCTCTGCGCGTGCCCTCACATGGTCACTTACGTGTGCAACAATGCCTGTGAGACTGCACTACTTGCCACCGGGTGTGTCCACCCATCATCCACAAAGATTCCTGAATTCAACGTTGGACACTGGGTCGACAATATTGTATTCGACATATGCGTTCCTGGGACAGTCGTCGCCTGTCGATCTCCGTCAAAAGCTGCTGTCGGATTGTAAAAACTGGAAAACGAAGAGCACTTGTGAGGAGGAGGAGGAGGAGGAGGAGGAGGCAACGACTTGGAGGCTGCGACAGAACCCTGCCGCCTCGCGTGGCGCATCCAGGGACTCGACGAGCGCTATCCGCTCTTTCAGCAAATCATCGATGTGGCAGACCTGCGCGGAGGTCTGTGTCGCCGCACCGCAGGCAAAGAGAGCAAGAGACAGACCAACAGCATCACAGCACTAGAATCCCCGAGGGCCGAGCTCTTTCGAGCAGCGGCAAAGTCCATTTGTCGGTGACCAAGACCTGCAGACCCAAAACTGCAGCGGCCGGAAAGACGCACATGCCGAAATCCTGTCCAGTGTTCGGTGCCAAGAACAAGCAGGTCCGACCGGCATGGACACAACGGTGGTCAACATGTCAGTCAATGTCAGTGAACTCAGACAGATACCAGGTAGCGCTGCTGGATGCTGTCCTGCGTTCACTTGTGGTGGGATCAAGCGACAATTATGCATTCAGATGCTGCGGCAATCACCCGTATCCATCCGCAAGCGTCCTTGACAGTGATAACTTCACGAGATCCACCAGTGTACGAAGAGCCTCACATGCTGAAAGTGCAGGGGAATAGCATGCTGCACCACCTAACTCTGCAGCCTCTCAACAGCACCAGAAAATCGCGTCGGCCCCCCCGTGGCAGTCAGACGTTCCCCCTTTCCGATCTCCTCTCCGCACACTGCCACCCAGGCCTGCCCCCCCAAATAAATTCTTCCACGAAACTGGGCTTTGCTCGCGGGGAACCTTCCTCGGCCCGCCCTTCCTGCTCCCCAGTCCCCCCTGTGAATCTGCGCATGGGGCCCTGCGGGCAACGCTTCAACAGCGACCGGGCCGGAGGCGGACGACACGAAGCTTTTCTATTTATGAAGCCATGCACATGCTGCAGCTTTCGGCGCTCGACCGCACGCAACTTTTTCAGAAGCCACAGCGAGCGCAGGCGCGCCAGAATGGTTCGGCCACTGCACGTGCTCCAAAGAAGGGCAGATCGGAGGTGAAGCGATGTACTGAAATGAGCCTCTGATGTCGCTGCATGAAATCCAAAAAAGAGGTCAAAGTCTTCGACATCTACTCGTGAGCAACACCATACATAAGCCATGTGACCGGCTCCCCTGCTGAATGGCCTCTACGATGGCATCCTGTCGGATGTCTCAGCTCTCACCATCTTGGAGCAATAAGAACTGTAAGAATTTTAAGACTTAAGAAGTGTGCTTCGGAAAGTCCTCGATGTCGCTTGGGTCCGAGATAACACCAGACCCACACACTCGCCCCATCACGACACCTCGCCTGGCTGCCTCTTGAAAGAGCTGATTCCTGAAACAAGGACTCATGCAAGTTCTGCACATGACGTCTTGCGGGAACTCTGCCTTCACGGTAAACAGCTGCTAAGGCAGGACGGTGCAAATGCTTTGCCAAGCCACATGCCAGACGACATGCTCGGATGAATGCCGTCACGCATGACGGCATCAAAGGGTCCAACGAAGCCAACGGCTCTTCCTGGGGAGGGCCGTAACAAGCTGCCTGACTTGCTACGATTTCCGTGCGTGACGATGGGACTTGGTAGACTCTCCTGGACCTTGCCGACACATCAGGTCAAGAACAGAGTCACGGATCTCGGCCTTGGCTTGCAAAGAGAATTCATGCCTGCTTGCATCCTGCGCAATAACGTCGCAACCATTGCCAGCAAAGCAAGACCCAATTTAACCAATCTGACTCTGGCATGCAGTACAATGTCAGTACAACTGACAGGAAAGGGACGACATGAAACCAGAGCGAGACCGAGAGACGTTGAGGATGTACTCGCTTGTCTCGAACTGCAGCCATCCCTGTGTCTCGCTTTCCGAGGCTCGGAGACTGTTAGGAGTAAAGCAAAGCGTACGATCGCCAAGTCTGGTCGGGTATCCGCCCCTTGAGTCCTTACTGGCCGTCCCCGGCCGGCCAGGAGGAAAGGTGATGCTGTCGAAATACTGCTCTGCCTCAAAGAGCTTTGTAGCATAAGGCCGCATGGTAGCACGCGCCCCCAGCTGCAGCGCATCACCATGCTGAGACACTGCCTCCCTGTGAAGTCTCTGCACAGGGAGCATGCCAGCTCTTGCGATCATCGCATTCTCCTCCCTACCCTGCCAACCAGATATCTGCCGATGCTCCGCATCTGATACGATGAACGAAAACCCGGCACGAGCCCAGGCAGCGACCTCATCTTCGCGCATCTTATGGGTGGGAATATCGTTGAATATGCCGAGCATGGGAGGCATCTCCAAGACGGAACTTGAAGCATCGTAAACCTCCTTCACAGGATTCCGCAGTGGATCCAGCGTGTATAGGTAGGCCCGCTTGGCAAGTTCCTGCACAGTGACGGGGAGTTCACCACCAATCACCGACAGAGCAGTCCGGCCAATCTTGCGTGCCAAGATTGGTATCGGAAGAGGTCGGACCAAGTATCCGTCAACCTCCTTCTGCAGATCATCACGTGATGTGTCACACTCAGACATCTCTGAAGACAAGTTCTGGTGACTGACACACCTGCGACAACAAATCCCTCCGGCTTGTACAGCTTCCAGTCCACGACAACTCTGACATGCAAAGCAATGCTTATTCTATGAGCTGCTGCGATTGGCTTATCCTCCTGACAGGAAGCAACTAGTAGGTACCGTCGACTACAACCTGCGCACGGTTCTCCAATGTGTCATGCTGAGCCAACCAGAAGGCACACATCAGACGGGCGGAGTATATCAACCAAAGCTCTAGACTCCAGGCTCTAGACATGGTAAACACAAAAGAAACTGAAGCGCACACCCACACACACACACACACACACACACACTTTCTCACAGGATGTTTGCAGTCATGGTTGGCTTTCGTTACACACGTGCTGCCGGCTTGGTTTGCGGAGTACATGGCTGCATGTGTGAAAGCGGCGCAGGTTGCTGCAACCGTACATGAAGACATGTGTAAAACCTCGGCAAGCTGGATGTCCTGATATGTACAAGCACTGACTTGTGGCTGCTGCAAGGGATTTTTAATGCAGCAACAACGATGGCATCAATCTACAGCGAGGATTCTTGATGTGGTGATCAAAAAGTTGAAATGATCACGGCAGGTAAGTCTGCTTGATCAGGCCAGGTGTCACCATGCGCTGACAGTGTCTTCGTTGGGCAGTGACTGTCAGGCATACACTGCCCCCTTCCTCATGGAAAAGTAGCATGCAAGCAAAGGGTGCACATGACGACGGAGAGTGACCTCCCTCAGCCCATGAACGAGGACTGTTCACACACACACACACACGCACCCGAACACACGCACGCACCCGAACACACGCACACACACACACACACACACACACACGCACACATGCTGCAGCTCTGGCCTGCTTGGCCTTGGCATGGAGGGCCGCAGAGGACGTGCCTGCATGGGGCCAGGCAAGGGCATCATGGGTTCGGGACTTTCGCCGCCACTCGCAAGAGGTGACACAGACCGGCCTCACCATGCCATCCAGCATTCGGTGCCATGACAACACCCTGAGAGATGTGGCCGGCGACGCCATCGCGGCGCATTCAGACCACTGCTTCTCGTGATATGAGCTTGACGTTCATGATAATACACAAAGGCATCCAAATTTGTGCACATTGTCAAACATGCAACATGAAACTCCAGCTGTGTCTTGTAGGGCATCCGAAAAGGGAACTATACTTCAGTGTCCAAGAAAACATACAACGGTGAAGGGTGAAGTTTGAAACAAGCCTCACACTGGCGCTGAAGGCTGGCTGGCTGGCTGGCTGATAGGATCAGCACATGAGTGCAACTTTTGCCGTGGAATCCACAAGCATGTCGGCTCACAACTGTACAAGGCAAGACATGCTTGCACGGAAATTCCACCGAGTGCGCCTGCAAGTTGTACATGGGCTGGGCACTGCAATCTGACGTGAATGACCCTACATGCCGGACCCTGGTTTCGACAGCACTTTGTGCTGGTCCGTACCAGGACATGCCCTAATGCAAAAAAGGCTGGAAGGAGCAGTGAGGTTCTCCTGATGTAGGGACTCAGGCGGACTTCCTGGCCATGAGCTGGGCCTGATCTCTGTAGCTGCGTTACACATCCCAGAATCCTTCCAACGGGGCAAAAAGCTCTGCACTCGGGCGAAGGCCATCTTGATCGCATCCAGGATCTGCTTGTTGGAGGGCTCCAACTTCTCAGCCTGATCAATCGTTCTGCGAAACTCCGTCTATCCTGCCCAAGGTAGGGAGGCATGTAGGCAAGACGCTGCCAAACGACTTCTACTGCGCAATTGGGAGAAAAAGATTCCTCTGCAGCGATATGACACGCTATGTACGACTGCAGAAAAAGTGCGATGACAATAGATCTCGTATCCTGCTTTAATTAAGGACCACCACTGAAGCGGTCTACTGTATAGCCAGGACGGGGATCGCAGCCCAGGTAAGATGAAGACTTCATAATCGTAACGTGATCTGCTGCAGCAGAAGCCATGGAAAACGGTGCACCCTTCACGTGACCTCAAGGAGAGCAGGAATGGCTTCAGCGTAGCGTTGCATTGCATGGAGGCCTGAGGGACATAGAGATGCAAAAGCCCCCAACAACGTGCCAATCAGCGGGTCCAAGAGTTTGGCTGATGCCCTTCCGGAACCAGCCCTTTGGGTTCATCGGCTCGACCTCCGAAGGACAGTGCGTCTTGCGCTGAACAACTCAGAGAAGCACTTGACGAGCGCCTCCGTGCATTTCTCCGCATCTGCACAGGCCTGGTCGGATGCCGCGGTGCGAAAGCTGAGAACAACAGCTCCTGTGTAAACTCTGAGCCGGGCCTTCTCATGATCACCCATTTTGAGCCAACACTGGGCACGATTTGCCCAAACGGCACCCAAGTCAGGTGCCTAAGCACGGAACCCTCCACAAACAGAAGCCACTTCCCCCCAAGAGCATGCTTATCGACGTCACGTTACCATGTGTCTTGAGGCCAACACACCAACGCACACAGACACACGGTCATCATGCCGATCCGACAGGTCCAGTCAAGGGTTACTTGCCTGCACTCCGTCTGTGTGATAGCTCAAGTTCCGTCTTACACGCCTCGTATTCACGCAGAAACTGTTGGATTGCATCCTGTGATTGCCCTCGAAGTAGTTGGCCGATGTGGTCATCTTAACTGCTTCGCCTGTGGCATCGGCGATCGTGTTGTGGGCGGCGGTGGAGTGGAGCAGCTGCAACTTTTCTTTGCTGGTTCCTGTGTGCCGCCACTTGATATCGCAACATCTGTTGTCGTCTCTTCACGATGCCTGTGAGAACGGGCTTGTCACCCATGTATTCCAGATCACAATATGATTGGTTTTTGGTTAATAACCATGAAGTGAACTGCCGATTTTGCTGTAGGCCTTGGTCGACGTCCGCCATGTTGTGTACCCCCGAAACTTTTGAAACGAACAGTGAGCTGAAGGTTTAAAAACTTGTCAATGTCGCATCAATTTGGTGTGCGTGGTTTAACTGATCAAAATATCAATTTTTGAATCAAACACACATGGACAAGCGTGGGATCGAGACCTCAACCTGGAAGACTTGCTAATTATGGCTAATTATTACCAAGAGCTAAGCTTCAGAAAGGTTAAAAGTGAAGTCGAAAGACTTTTCTTCAAAATGTTGAAAAATTGAGAAATTGAACCGCACATATTCACTTCTTGCTTGCATCTGCGTAATTCGTGATCTTTGCCTTTTGCCGTTTATCGCATACACTACAACCATGGATTTGTGATAGGTGTCACGATCAGGGTTTTTCGATCTCGAATCTCGATTGAATTTGTCGAATATCATGTAAAAATGCCGAACGAGATTGGGGAGATTGAAAAGTACAACAGCTTGGAGAATGAAAAGTCCGCCGAGGTCACAGGCCCAGGCGTCTTGGGGATACCTGACCAGACACCCTGTTTTGCGTTCGTCGTTTGCCACCCGTTTGCCCGGATTCCCTTCCTTCTACCTGATTTGTAAGCCTCCTCCCCCCTCCCCAGGCCCTTTGCCCCTTGCCAGTAGAATGATTTGTAGGCCTCCTCCCCTTTCCAGGCCCCTGCCCCACCCCCCTCCTCCCCCCTTGCCCATTGCCCCCCCCTACCCCCCCTCCGTGCCTTGGACGCTTGGCGTCCATTTGACGCAATAGTGTTTTCTTATATAAATCCCAAAGTTGCCACCTTCCAAACCTTTGAGCGTGGCCTTCTGAATCCAGCTAATATAATAAAAAAACACGTGGGGAGGCAAAGCGCCGTGCTTCTGAATCCCACCAGTACTTGGGCGAAAATATGTTTGGACGCGCCAGTACGTGGGAGAAAGCATTCTGGTCGCGGTCCCAAATCCGTGGAAAGCCATGCAGGCCGTGGTCCAAAACCCTTCAGGATTTTGGCAGGAACCGAAGCTGAACGACTCCTGCCGGCAAAGCCTGCAGGTCGCAGCTTGTTTCATATTTTTGGGGTAGTTTTCTTCGTTTGCTAGGCTTCCTGTAGGGACCGAGTGCTGCTGCCGCAGTCGTTGAGACCCGCCCACGCCAAAAAACAACTACGTGCGAGCAGACGCTGGGGGACATGGCTCAAGGTAGGTTGCATCTGTGAAGAGATCAGCATCACTAAATTCAAGAGTTCTGAGATGCGACGCGCAAAAAATGTTGGCAGGGCCAGCAAACTTCGCGGAACCAAAATTGCAGAATCGGTTTTGACTTATCAGGACTTCACAAGCTCATTCTGGGACGCCACTTCGACAGCTACGTTTTCAAGCCCCAAGTATTGTTTCAAGAAGTGGGCGCTGAGCCCTTACATGCAGCAGCGACGCTACTTTACATGTGGCTTCACTGTACTAGTAGTTGAGTTGCGCGATGGAACTCAGAATGCACGTCGTTCTTACTATGGTGACCTCGAATTATAAAGCATACACATGTGCATACATGTGGGCAAAATAGATGCAGTGAATACTTACCGGTCTAATATATAGGATCGCTTTGCTTATAAGTGGTTGGTGGGCTTACTAAGTGGATGATGGACTTATGTTGGACTTATAAAGGTGAAGACCAACTGACTTACCAGAGCACGGGCTGCGTGAGTTAAGGTCAACTTATTGTGGGGTTATTAAGTGGGATATATCGGGTGGATGTAAATATGTGGTATGAGTCACTTAGGGTTGCACTCATACATAAGTAGGGTAAGTAGGACTTACAGGACTTACATAAGAAGGAGAAGGGCACACACGTCAGTAGGTTAAGTGCACTTACATAAGTAAGTGAAGATAAATCCATATCCGTAAGTAGGCTAAGTAGCTTGAGTGGGCTCCAGAACAGCGCGCTGATCCTACTTATCGGACTTATAGCCATGACGCAGCGGAACCCACTTAGCGGACTTAGCCGGTAACCCACTTAGCCTACTTACTCGGAGGCCACGTCGCTGGACCTGTCTCCCACTTAGCACCCTACTTATAACTGAATTACAACTCAACACGACGTCGATCGCAACTAAGGTTGATTGATAAGCACCTCAAGTACAACATAAATCCATGATCTGGTTATCGCAATTATAATTTAAGTACACTAATGTTGAAGCAGTTATATATCAACAACAAAACATCGTCGGACTATGGTCCATTGAAAGCATTTGGAGGTGTGGTTACCTAACTCATAGTTCATGTTACTGGACTTCATTAGTTACTTAGTAACCAGAGCACAGATCATGCAATAGCTTTAATCTATACGCATTATAAACCATGCACGCCATTATATGATTGGGCCATGGATGCTGTGAACTCACAACACATCAAACATGCACGTCATGCAATGTGAGGCTGGGTCATGCATGCTGTGAACGCATGCTATAATTATAAACCATGCACATCAGAGCGTGTGCGTCATGCATTCTAAATGGATGGGCCATGGAACTGCATGCGCCCTCGCAGATCTCAGGGCCCTCCGCGCCCTCAGCGCCCTCGCGCCTCAGCGCCCTCAGCGCCCTCAGCGCCCTCCGCGCCCTCCGCGCCCTCCGCGCCCTCCGCGCCCTCAGCGCCCTCAGCGCCCTCAGCGCCCTCCGCGCCCTCCGCGCCCTCAGCACCCTCAGCGCCCTCCGCGCCCTCCGCGCCCGCAGCGCCCTCAGCGCCCTCAGCGCCCTCAGCGCGCTCCGCGCCCTCAGCGCCCTCAGCGCCCTCATACGCCCCCCGCGCCCTCCGCGCCTTCAGCGCCCTCCGCGCCCTCGCGCCCTCAACGCCCTCAGCGCCCCAGCGCCCTATAAGCGCCCTCAGCGCCCTCCGCGCCCTCAGCGCCCTCAGCGCGCTCAGCGCCCTCCGCGCCCTCAGCGCTGAGCGCCCTGAGCGCCCCTCAGCGCCCTCCGCACCCTCCGCGCCCTCATCAGCGCCCTCAGCGCCCTCAGCGCCCTCCGCGCCCTCAGCGCCCTCCGCGCCCTCAGCGCCCTCAGCGCCCTCCGCGCCCTTAAGCGCCCTCAGCGCCCAGCGCCCTCCGCGCCCTCAGCGCGCGCTCAGCGCCCTCCGCGCCCTCAGCATCCCTCAGCGCCCTCACTTGAATGTTCTGGGTGTTGCTTACCATGTATAACTAGTTAACTTAGTTAAGCATGAAAATTAGCAAAATTAGTAGATGTTGCTAACGAGTTAGCTGATGATGAAAAGTATACAAAACAACTCTGTAGGTTATGGTTTTGTAAAGAAGAAGAACCTGAAGCGGAAGAAGAAAAACAGAGAAAACACATTGGGAAAGGCGGACATTGTCATTACACTTTCCGGATATTTTTAAAAAAGGCCCGAGGAATCGAAGTGTCGAGGATGCATAATTTCATGTCTTGCATGGCATGCATGTAAACGGATTGTTGCATGTATGGAAATTGGTAAACTCGCAAAGTAAGATTGCTATCATTGTATGGCATGCATGCGGTCCTAGTGCATGCACGTAAATGCATGCATGCATGCATGATCTCCTGTCTTGCTGTGCTTGCATAGACAAACATGGCTTGGAACTTTTCATGTCTTGCCTGCATGGTATGCATGCATTTGCTTTCTTGTTTTTGTTCTGCATGCATGCAACTTTCAAGATTGCTTGCAGCGGCATTGTAGGCAGCACGGCAGCGGACTATGTTTTAGCACCAGCTCGCATTCAGGTCGGAGTGCATACTCAGAAAACTGCATGCATGGTGGATGCTCTGATCATGGATAGGCCTAGCAGACTCCTTTGATTGCCTCCATGCATTGAAGGCTGGAACTCTGCCAGGCAAGCGAATTATTCGGCATGCCCTTCATGCCTTCACTCCCTTCTCAGCCGCTTGGTCGGGCTCTCACAAATCGCAGGGCCATTGTTGTTGTCGTCGTCGTTGGCGGTGGGGAAGACATGTCGAAACCATTGCCACCACCAGATCCTTAGATTGCAGCTTGCATGCACTTAGAAGCATGGCATGATGAAACAAACTTCAGCCCAGGATCGTGACCCCTGCGATTTCGCTTCGCATCCAACACCACCTCCACTCAAACCTCCTAGGAGGAGGCGATCTGCTGCGGCCCGGGCTTTCATCGCGAGGAGGCATCGCGAACTACAGGGAGTTCTTTCATGCAAAATGCTGCAGGCATCATGAACCCTCCATAAATCAAAGATTGCATGCAAGCATGGATCACACAATAATTCTTTGCATCATCCATGCATGCAACCTGCAAACATGAACACATGCAAGGCAAGCATGACACTTGCAAAAGAACCATAAGCACAGCTGCATATTTTCATCATGCATGGCGAGGTCGCAAATAGGCAGGCGGCAACACGGTCAGTGTGCCATCATTGGCTTTGTTGTACACGACACTGCAAAGCAGGTCATCGGCACCGATGATGTAAATCTGGGGGTCACCTGCCTCTTCACGAAACTTGAGCATGTTCATCTCCCACCGCTGCTGAAGGAAAGTGACGGGGGCAAGCATCACCAGAGCAATATTGTGCAGCTGAATGCAGCAGTGCACTTTGGCACATCTATAAGGGCACTCGTGCCCTGGCTCATTGCCATGCAGCACCATGTCGCCTTTCTTGATGATAGCACCATGCTTCAGCCTTGTCATCATGCTTGTCATGCACTCATCCGCTTGCCGCAGGACATTGTACTGCACCAAGCTTTTCTTCAGCTTTGCAGTGCAAGCATGCGGCTGCAGCAAATGTGCCCGCAAATGGAAACCCTCTTCTTTGCCCATGACCGACAAATGCTCTGCAGTCACCTCTTCCAGAAGAGATGTGTCGAAACGAATCGTATTGCTAGAAGCCGACCCATATTTACGGGCGGCTTTGTGTTTCCGTTCCAAGA